AAATATTTATTATATTATTTCTTAATGTTGTTAGCGTGTCCTTAATTAAATTTTTTATGAGTGAAAGGTGAATGAACGACATTATTCTTTATTAAAAAACGAGCATTGTTTCAAAGAACTTCTAATTCTGTCGAACAATTTTCGCTAGAAGCTAATTCATATATTTAATCGTTTTGAGCCCTTTGGGAAATATCTAAAAATACAAAAAAAAATGTAACTTATTATGTACATATTGCTACAACAAACGTTTTTATCTTGCTTGTTACAGATAATAAATGTAGATAAAATATTACTTAAAAAATGATTCCCATAGGATTTTTTTTAAATACAAATGGTGTTTCCATTTTTTGGCCTTGATAATTAACATTTTCTTTAAAATCTGAATAATGATAACCAGACATTAGCGCGTTAAAAAACAATAAAACGAACTTAGCTCCCTCAACGACCGCGGGCATGCCGGCGTTACAGTTAACAATGGACTTCTTAGAAATTTACCTGGAGGTGTTAATATCTTAAGTATAGATAACGAGTTATTTTTTTTTATTTGTGTATTTGTGGAGGTTTCTTGTCGTACTAAAGGCCGAGATGACTGATGTTTGAGATGACGTGATGAGTTGTTTCTTCATAAAGATACTCTACTGTCTACACTTTCTTATATCTACGCGAATATCTGACATTTTAAATAAAACTATCTTTTCGGATTTTTTCGCGGATTTATTTTGATTTTTGGTTCCCCATAGTGTTGCTTGTAATTTATCTTTTTAAATAATAGCAAACTAAATTAAAATTATTATCCTTAATTAATTTTAACTTTCTAAATTACACATAGAACAATTATATGGCTTAAATACTTAATACTATATTTTATATTTTTCTTTATGATTATAAATATAATAATGGCAACACTAAGTATAGATTACTAATTAATATTTTTAAAATTGTAATAATTATAATAATAACAGCAAAAATTAAATAAATAATATTACATATTTAATTATAAAACTCATTAAAATTATAAAAATGTTTAAAGTTAAAAAATATTGTAAGGTAATTGGTGCAATTTTCATTTTGTTATTTGTGGGTAGGCTGTCTGTAACAACTATACCTTCGAGACATCTAACACCTCAGTCTCTCCCGTGACCATGAATGCTGCATGCATTCGAATGCTGAATGCATTCGAAACGTCGGGAACCAAAAATCCAAATAAATCCGCGAAAAAATCCGAAAAGATAGTTTTATTTAAAACACTCTACACTTTATGCCACCCGATTCAACTTTAGTGTGTGACACACAACGTGGAAGGGAGTGTAACTCGACACCGGGAGGTATCGTGTTTTGTGCGGCTTCGCGACCACCGGGTCTTAGCTTTCGTCCTCGACGCTCGATAGGTCCCGTGCGGTCCGCCTGAAGCACACTTGTAATGACGCGTAGTATTATAATTTTAAATATGATGATGTTCTCCTAGCCGATTCCGGCCACGGCGGCCAATCTCATTGAGATTAGCCAACTGCGCAGGAGATATTATAGTGCACAAGTGTACGCGCAGACACAAGTGCACTCTCTATTCCTATCACTCTCATACTCCGGTGGGACGACCACTCGACACGACCGGTGAGAGTTAAGGCGCAGGACCGACGGCTTTACGTGCTCTCCGAGGCACGGGGGTGAAACACCGCCAACTTCCCAACTCCGGGTTGTTACTGAGACTTACTATACAGAAAGACTCAATAACTAAACTTGGCCCGACCCGGGACTCGAACCCAGGACCTCCGGGTGTGCAGCCGTACATGCTAGCCACTACACCACCGAGGCAGTTAAATATAGTTTTAAATATAGTTTACAGCCATCGAATAAGAATATATTTTATAGATAAAAAATCTGGGTAACTGCTCGAGTATTTTCTAACTTACTAGATAGTTGCTAAAAAATATATAATTTGTATATTTTCCGCTGGCAAAGAAAAGGAAAGAAAAAGTAAGGTACTAGTATAGGACTCGTTAAATCAAAGATGACAAATGACTAATGGGCCTATTTTAAAGATTTTTATTAGTAGCTTCCTATTGATTTCATCACTATCAGCTCAATGGAACGGTGAAGTAATATCATGCGGGAATTAACCTAGTTCACGTCCTTCGAGAGTTCCGAACAGTTCAGTGATATTTAATAGATAGGTACCTACTTACCTAGAATTTTTAATGTTATTTGTGACGTAGTTTTCAAATGCGTTGGTACATTAAAATTTGACAGGGTTTAACAATCAGCAATATATATTTTGGATATGTTTGGCATGTTTTTGTGGGCGTATGAACGTAGTATCAATATCTACATATATAACATTAGCATTGCCCGGCTCCGCTCGCGTTCAGGTGACCAAAAACGTAATTCTTAGGTTTTACATATTAGTATACTCTTACAATGCAGTTTTTGTATTTCTCAGAAATGAGACATTTTTCCGCGGTAAAAAGTATCCTATATGTCGACCCGGATAACCAGCTATCACCATACCAAATTTCATCAAAATCCCTCCAGTGGTTTTCCGTGATGCGGTAACAGACAGACAGACAGACAGACAAAAATTCTAAAAACTATAGATTCGGCCTCTGTATCAATAATAATGTATATTTCAATAAGATGTTCCAAAAAATATTTAATGTACAGATTCGGCTTAGGTAGAATTATTGTTATATGTCAGTGAGCTTTTATGGTCAAAATTCCTCACCATTGTTCTCTTCCGGGGCCATTATTATATTTCGTTAGTATCTAGTCATAAGTCATGGTCCATTTTGCCTATTTGCCTTATAAGACTATTGAGGTACTATTTTACAACGTCTAACAAAATATTTATTGATCGATATTTTCAATTTAGCAAAGATTGGTAGAACATGATTAAATGAATCGTAGAAAATAAATATGTGACTAATAATCTAATCTGGGGCAGGGCATATAATTTTCTTTTGAGAAATATTATACTAAATAATAAAGACCATTCTATATACGTGAAAAACAATCCATAATGATTTTGAAATCGTCAGTGTCATTCAAATATATATTGCTTAGGTAATTGGTATATTACTCCCAAGGAAGCTTGCCAAACATGATGTGTATACTGTAGTGCCTTCATAATATAAATAGTTTTACGTGGTCTAATAAAACAATCTCGGTATCATTTATTGCGAAGTAATCAAACGTCTGATAAAGACGTGAGGCTGGTCGGAGATGCTCGTATTATATATTTCGGGCGTGTTGCCAGCGTGTCTGACGCGGACGGCGGACGCGCCGGCAACACGACGCAACACAACGCGCTAATTGTATCAGGCGGTAATGGCTCTCGATAACCACATATATACATACCGTACCCACTACATACTACATGCACACGACTTCCGCGTTGCCCAACTCGTGGAGATGTTCTTACTATACCAGTGTTGATTGATCACAAAGCTTTGCAATACATTTCTACCACGAATCTAGGTTTATTAAGTAAATAAATGAAGATGTACTTTAATGCAACCGGTAGGTAGGCTTCTGACGATGATAAGAATGGACCAAACATAATATATATATATATATATATATATATATACACTATATATATATATATATATATATATATATATATATATATATATATTTATCAGAGTTATGATACATATTTATGATTAAATGTAATCTTTGATTTCCCAAACGCGTATATAAAGTGAATGAAGTTTTAATAAAGTGAACACTGGACTTAAAGAGATGAGGCTTTGACAGCGTGTTCATGGATATTTGCAATTTCAAACCTCAAAAGGGTAAAAGAGAGTGGCAAACTTGATATTAATGATTTGGCAATAATACACGTATTACGTCATTTTCTAAATACTATACTTAAATATCGACAAATGCGGGTTTCCCTCGCGTACCGAGGTTCCATAGAATTAACATTTTTATGTTGTGTTTTAGCTTATAATTGTTAGATTAAAAATATATAAAATATTTAGGTACCGAACTGTAAATACTCATTCGCTACTGAACAAATCTTAATCAAAATTATATTCGGTAAAACTACATCAGACGCTCTATTATTTAAATTTATTGAGGATTTTCAAATATATTTTTTTGTAATTTGATTACAAAATTGTCTACCGTCTAGCAGTTCATGTTAGACGCCGTAAGTTTCAACTGTACAGTATACCAATAATCTCCGTGTAAAAAACATTGTAACATACGGGCAGGGAGACAGACATGATGAAATAATAATTCTTTTGTTTTGTTTGTGTTTGTAATTGTGTCGAAAATATGCTAAATTACTTTATATCTGAAAATGAGAACATCGACATGAGCCATACTTCCTAATTAAGTTGATTAACAAGGAAAACGTTAACGATCATAGGTTAAAATAGTATCAGGAAAATCTCATGTTACTTGTTTGCCACATGATTTATTTTTTGTAAGTTTGCTGCGATGTATTTATTTAGCACCCCCCCCCCCCCCCAACGTGCTTTCACCTTGTCGTGGTGGGGGGCTCAGTAGTGCCCGGCAATACAGCCGGGCGCGAAGCCAGGAAACGCACAGGGAGGTGGCCCGCTTCGGTGGGCGGTGGGAGGTGGCCCTCTTCGGAGGGCGGTGTACCATGCGGGTTGCTCCTGATACTTCTCTGATAGCAGAGTGGACCTTGGAGCAACCCCGTGGTTGTTGTGGTCTGCTTCGGCAGACCTGCCGTCGGGGCGTCGTAGTTGAATGCGTAAGCGATCCTACGACGCTCCATTAAGACGGGGGAAGGTTTTGTTGGGTTTTAGTGGGTAGTACTGGCTTTGCCGGTGAGTCCCACACCTCGTGCGTAAATGCATTTCCCAACGTTAAAAAAATGTATTTATCTCAATTTGTTTATTAACACACACCCTCTTGGTGGTGATATTTTGGTTAATTGCGTATGCGTATATCAGGTTTGGTTATAAGATGATAGATGTGACCTTCATTAAATCTGCGTACTCTTATTTTGTTTACTTTATTTAACACAGGAAGCAGAGCTCAGCACCTGGACGTCTTTCCTGCAACGCGCGGTGGAAGCCACTTACAATACAGAAGTGGTAATAGACAACCTACAAAACCTTGTCGGTAAGCACGCTACATTTTATCTGATAGTTAGGTACCTCTTTATCTATAACATAAACACCAAAGTTTACATACATTTTTTACTCGATCGCCAGAAGGAAGGTTAGGTAGGTTTTCGACTACATAACCACATAATACTATGTTCCTTCGTCAACTTGTTTTCACTTTTTACGCAGTCGGGTTTTTTTTATTTTTCTAAATAATTTGTTTTATTTTAACGTGTTTGAAGTTTGAACACTAAAAACTGAAAAATGAATAATAATATTATGTAATAAAATATATTACTAATGTCTTTATATATCTGCTACCATCACAAGATTATGTTTACATTGTTTTATATTATATTTTTATGTTAGGTATTTTGTCATAAATTGTTCTGCTCGCGTCACGCGGTCCGTTGCCAATGCCTCCCAGCATGCGGGCTTGTTTACAGCCGGCGGCCCTTGCGTCTCAGCACGTGGTGTGGGCGGCGCGGCGGTTAAATAAACTGTTGTTTTACAACTAAAATATTACTTCATTTTTCACTCAGCATACTTATATTTTTGCCAATAATAATAACCAGCGGTAATAGTACTCAACACTGACTGACTAATTACTATTTATTTCCACATACCATATAAATTTGTTCCGAATGCTTCACCGTTTACTAACGGCAACTACGAGTATCTTGGTAGTTTAGTGGCTCGCACGTACTAGTGGGTGCAGATGCGGAGGCCTTGAGCTCGGATCCTAGGTCTGGTTAAGTGTCAGATCTTGGGTTTTTCTGATAAGAAATCCTCAGTAACAGCCCAGAGCTAGGAATTTAGTGGTGTTACACGCCCGTGCCTCGGAGAGCTTAAAGCTGTCGGCTCTGATCTCTCTTAGTTCGTGTGAAGTTTTCGTCACATCGGAGTGGGAAAGTGACAGGAATAGAGAGTGCACTTGTGTTTGTGCGCATATTCGTGCACTATAATATATCCTGGGCACGTGTCCGAAATCGGTCCGAAGGGTTTGATTAGGTACTTACATGCACAAAAGTCAGCATAGAGGCTAAAAATATAGTGACGTTTTGCAGCGGAGCAGAAGCGCTGCGTGCGCGAGGTGTCGTCGAGCAGCGTGTTCACGTCGCTGTGCGGCGCAGGTGGCGCTGGCGGCGCGGGCGCAGAGGCGGCGGCAGGCGCAGAGGGCGCGCACTCGCCGGCCGCGCGCCGCGCGCTGGCCGCCTGCAGCACGCCCATCGCGCGCGACTAGCGCCCGCCCGCCGCGCCGCGCGCCGCCGCCGCGCTCGCCGCGCTGTGCTGCGGTACGCGCGCCGCGCACGCTCCCGCCTTCGTGTAACCCTCGACCCTCGACCCTCGACAAACGACTCCATTGATCTCATGTAAAATATATTCGAGGTATCGCACTACTCTTTCTTCTGAACTCTAAACTGTAGTGAACCATCCGTAACCGTCGCTACGCAATCGACGAATCTTTGGATGTATCCTAGGAGTTGAAGAATTGAGTTCTTATAGTGAAGGTGGTCAAAATAAAAAACAAACTGACGTAAATCTATATATTTGGACATGATCGAGGATTACATTTATAGTATCGGGCGGACGCTGTAATTTAATAGACGTTAAAATTATCGTCACTATAAACTCGATCTGATGTCAGCACGGCGCGAGGTTACTGGCAGACGGAGATTACCTTTAAATTATTCACAAGCGCCCAACGTGCTGTCTCATCGCAAAGTATTTCTCACCTAACACGCTCCTCACAATGTAATCGCGACTGAATTACACACGCGTCATTCAGAGAATACTCACTAACTTGTTACATATTATGAAAAGTAAGCCTAGCGCGGTTTAACGGTTACTTAAATATCAATGATTCCTTATAGAGCCGACACTATATCGAGTTTCCTAGTAAGCGATCGCGGTGAAACGTATCCGTCGAGAGCGCGTGCCGGCCGATAGTGGACCTTACGCCCTCGCAATACGGGCGCCGGCGCCGCGGGTTTCACTCCGGGAATGTGCCGGCTGCGCGCACAAAAACTTAATTACCGCTTACTGCTCGCTGACTGACCTATTAAGTTTATTCGCGTAGACTTAGCTTTTAAATTTTAATATATATTTTATTAGAGATTACTTGTAAAGTTGAGTCGTAAGAGATATTTTAAATACAAAATTGGCTTAACTGATAGGTCAGGGAGAGGCCAACGTATATATTAAATTATAATTTGTTACTTCAAAAGTACTAATTTGTATAGTAACCGCTTGTGTAATTTCGTCGGGTATTATATGTTGCTTATTACCTTCAGGTAAATTTCTAAGAAATCTATTGTCAACTGTAACGCCGGCGTGTCCGCGCTCGTGGAGGGATTAAAATCAACATATGAATTAAGAAACAGAACATAACATATACATTAAGAAGAAGATAGACGTACAGTGTACACCCACAGTGTCGTTGTGCTAAACGATGATAAATATTACTTATCTACTAAAAGCTTCTCGCCGCGCGTCACGGCTCACGCCTGAAAGCGTTGCATCGAATGATAATATTCATATCTCGATTCTCGACAGCTTATTATATTGGTTTTGATATTCGTATATAAATATACGTTTGTAACTAAAACATATGATGTAGGAGCGTCCAGACACCTCCGCGCTTAATAAGGCATGGCTTCATACGCTTTTTATAACGTTTTAATTAACTAGAGATATTAATTCTTGGAAAACTTTTATATATTTATTGTTCGTAACAAGATGAAGGATGAACTGCTTCTTTTATCTAAGTACGAGGTTTTTTTTTATCTAACAATAAGTAACATGTATTGTGTGTCTGTCTGTCTACAAGTAACGTGTGTACAAAGTGTCGGGTCAGCTCTGCACCACTGCCTTAACACGTGTGTTCAATTCGCGCAAACCGCCGAATCTATCGTTGTTCTAACTTTAATGTTATTGCGAGCGTTCTATCTACTCAAGATATATGCAGTGTAGTGTATTTGTTTGCATTTTATCGCGGCACCCACCACGCGAGCGGAGCCGCGAACTAAAACTAGTAAAATATAAAACTCAATCTAATCTCGATTTCCTTTTCACTGCGGTCAAAAATGAAATTGAAACTCACGACAATGTCACCTACGTTCGGTTTTGCATACATTAGGTATAGCATAGCACAGCTGAAAGTGATGTGTTCGGTGAGTGGACAGTGGACACTACACTGCATATATTTTTGTGGTTCTTTTAATGTTTGTTAAACTTACAGTTATATGTTTAGAAAGTTTTGATAATATTACGGAAAGTCGCTGCTATATATCGTATTAGATTTAATATTTAGTAGAATGTATGTTACACTTATGAAACGTATTCTTATTATGCATTTACTTATAATCGCTTGAAGCTTTTTGTATGATTACGAACACTGCCTGATGCATCAATTTTATTGTATTAATATTACCTATATTTAGTTTTAAATTTATCTTTTAGGTGTTAAGGGTTGATATTTTCGAGCATATGAGAGAAATAATTAAGTACCTAATCTATATACATATATACAGTATCAAAGAAACCCCACAATGAAATTGTCGCAGTCCACAGCCTGCGCTACACTCGTGTGCCGCGACATTTTCCTCGGCAGACTTACACTCGAAATTTTGGAGATTAATTGACATAGACGTGCATGTACGTGTGCAGAGCACATCGCTGACACTTGAAGTGTCTCGTCTCAAGGGCATGTACTAAACAAAACTTGAGTTTTTGTTACTTTACATACGTTAAAAAAATAAAAACAAATTAGTATGTGCAGCCACGTCGTTCTATGATACATGATTAAAATCTGTATTCTCTTAAACTAGCTGAGTGCCTTCTTGATGTTTGTTTGGTTTATTGAGCTCGTGTAAAAAGTATGTCATGTAGAAGGTACGTACTCGCTGAGAATGCTCGCTCGGCGCAAGTAGGTGAGTGCGCTTCGTTCTCGCCAGACTATTTCGTTACAAACATCGCACTCCCTTACTTTCAGCGAGTGCACTATTCTTACATCACTCGCTTTTCTTATACAGTGACTGGGCCGTGACCTTCATAGTTTTTAAACTGAATACTTTTTCCGATTTTCGCCGTGTGTAAACGTTGTGCCTGCTCTTATTGTTAGCCATAAGTAGATCTCTCGTTGCGGTTTAACGCTATAGGAGTTGCTAGAAATATTTTTTGAATGAAGTAGGTACCGACAAGCGACGTGCCCGGGCTGGGACCAGTTCAAAACAACTGGAAGAAAATTATATAATAGCATAAAATATTGAATTATGAAATAGGTATACAGGTGAAACACGATCAGGTAATTTTGAAAATTATGGAGTGTTTCATATAATGTATAATGTATATATAGTGCATTCTCGACGTTTTTTTTTTATCAGATTTTCTAATGAAATTTTAACAAAAAATATAGAACTAGTTATGCATGATATTTTATCAAAATAAACATTAGTTACGTAATCCTCGTGCGCGTAGTGTCTGTTGTAGATTTTTGAACTCTTTACATTTTGATTGTGTCGTTGCGACAGGTGTGCGGTAATGTTTGCATTCGCCTCTAATTTTAATAAAAGACATGTGTAACAGTATTATATTTGCAATATTTTGTATATGTATGTATGTGAGTTACAAATATATGATGTTTGTTCTTAACAGAGCTTTATAGTAGGTGTATATGATAATTGGTTAATTCTATGTAAGTATGATTTATATGTACATATTATACATATAACGACTGTGGCCAAATTTTGATTAGTGTCGGGAGTCTCGTTGAATATTGTATAGTAACTACCTCCGTATCGTAAGACATGAGCAAACTGCCGCAGATCTTGCTTCAACCATCTGTTTGATGAAATGCATGAAAGTGTGATGTGATCGCTCTAGAGTAAGATGTTAACGGAATATTTACATAATATAGTAATATTTCATATTCTCTTTACTGTTTCGCTGAATATTTAAACTGTTATATTAATATAGTTCACGTGTCGATGTCGCCTAGGGCTTTGATTGGCTTGCAGTGGCGTAGCTAGCCAATGCAACTAATGCGGTCGCACGGGGCCCCTGATTCAAGGGGGCCCCAGCCGGCCACAAACGATTCTTTTATTTCAAAACATTTTTTCAAAGACTTTCGCATTGGGGCCCAAAAAGTCTAGTTACACCACTGTTGGCTTGAGTTACGTGTAACCTAACAATGTATACACTGTTTATGTAATTATAAATAAATAACCATAAGCCCTTATTCACGGGACGTAGAAGACGCTGCCTTCCCGAGCCGCGCCCGCGTGTGATAACTCAACGAAGCTACGTTGCCGTTGTGGCGTCGTCATAGTACCTATATTATTATGAACCTATTGCATTTTCGATTAAATCATTTATTCTTGTTGTCTAGGAGAGAGTTGGTGTTTGTAGATGTAGTTAAATTTAATAAATCTTATATTATATATTATTATCTTCTATTAATATTTGCGCTTTGCAGGTTTTTATCGCCCAGCCCTGCCCGGGATACTCTCATAATTTTTGACTCATTTAGTATTTACATACATATAAGTACCTAATATTTCTACCATCATCCACGAATTGCAAAGCTATCAAGTATTGATATACTACCCACTGCAAGTGTCGATCAAAACCTGCAAAGTGATGGAAATTTACTATTCATAAAGAAATTGTGTCATAATTTAAGTGTTATATATATGTATTACATTTTAACTAAGTATAAATGTGCAACACCAAGTTGTCTGAGCTCGTACTCGAATAATCCATGGCCTGCTCTCTAAGTGAAGTTGGTAGGATGTTGAATTTATCGCACTTATTGGTATTGGAGCGAGCGCTTGTAGCGGCCCCGCGGCCGGACGACAGTCTAACCAGGACTTAAAATATTTTTAAATCAATTGGTTTATGCAGAGTCGCTGCCGAGGACATTTGCTTTGTTTTCAATATATATTTACTCTTCGATATTTTGATTTTATTAGCGACAGACGTGGCGACTAGCGACCGGCGCAGGACCGCCGCGCCGCCGCTCAAGCGCTCGCTACACCTTCATCACATTCCAAATTAATTTTGTGTACCGACTGTAATGTGAATAGAGAGAATAAATAAAACATATTTTAATGAATACTCTTTATTTATCACCTTATTCTAACATTATTACAATAATTCTCGAATACGTAAAGGTATCAGACTCATATTGGCAAGTTTGCAGGAGGCTTTACCGCAGGTGGCATGAGCTTCAATTACTTTTAGTACTGATCTACTATACATATATTTAAACGTTTCATTTCTATAAATCGTATTAAACGAGTTTGTAGTCTAGTCACGGCAGTGGGCCTCCTGCACGACCTACACTTCAGTTCACTTCGCGAGGAACTAACCTAAGTGGCAGAATAATAAACAATTACTAGACATATCTAGCTACCAACTAGCCGATGATTATTACTACTATTTTATCGTCTCCGCTTGCCATAATATAAATCGGGAATTTTTATATATACTTACTTATGCAAATATCAACAACTCGAGTATCTTCTATAGTTTTCTTATAAAAATATATAAATACGATATTTTATCGCCGCTAGCCACCGACGACCGCGATCCGGTCCCCAGACTACTCGAGCATATAAGCTTATTTGTACAAATTTCATCGACATGTATTTAATAACGTAGATACTAATCACGACCTAAACTCACTCAAACTGCGTGTAAATGGTAACAGATGTAATTTTCTATATCAGTATTATTTAAAATTGAAGGGAAATGCACAAATATCTTTTAAAAACTATTTAGAGCTACAGCTACTTGTAATATCTACATGGAGGAAGACTGGCCGCTGAGGACTAAGCTAGGATCGACTGCAGACAGTGTGTCAGCTGTGATAAAATCTGTAAGCTAGTTGTATAGATACTGCTATTTCGTGATAGTAGAGTACCTATACTCGTATGATACATAATATTAATTGTTAAGGCTGACAATCTCGCCTTCGCCACTGGTGTGCGCGGTAGATAAGTACTGTCGTTTTTTATTATTTGCACCTGGCTTGTCCAAAGCTGCTCGTGAGTGAATGGTAATAAATATATTATGTTAATTGGCAAATTATAATTAAAATGAAAAGACTTCCTTATATCTAAGCTTACTACACGAAGTAATACTGCTGCTGCGCGGACGCGGCGAGCTTCACCCTCATAAATACTTAAATAATATATTTACACTCACTGGAACGGAAGACTCGTTTTATTACCAGACGTCAATTAAATTAAACATTGCTTACAGCGTACATCAGCCTAATCTATATTTTATTATGTTGTATGTGGCACAGTCGGCGTCGTCGTCGCTTGCACAGTATCGTACGTACGATCATTAATATAACAAAAGTAGCTTATCATTTTTGTTATAACAAATTTCGATTTAAAGCTCCATAAGAATAAATCACGAACTCACGAATTAATACTCAAAAAAACTGAATGAGTAGGTAGGTACATATAGTTTGTATTGCTATATGAAATGAAAGCGTGTGCAGAAGGCGTGGCACGGTCAGGCGGGCGCCGGCGGCGGCGGCGGCGCGGCGCGCGGCGCGCGCGGCGGCGCCAGCACGGCGTGCGGCACCGGCACCGTACGCCCGCACACCTGCGGAGCCGACCACCGACACGTTATAGGCACATCAGTTTTAGGATTCATTCGATCTCTATCATACATCTACATATTTTAAAAAGAAACCAATAGATCCAAAGCTGGTTTTCTTAAATCAATACATGAATAATATAGTAGTGTCTATTATTATTAAATACTACTTATCCTCGCTTCGCTCGTGTGCTGTCCTAGCTGCGGTACAGTACTCTGTTTTACACGACAAAACTATCTGTATACTAATATTCATCCAAATCCCTTTAGCCGTTTCAGCGTAAAGAAGTAACAAATATGCACACACACGCATACATATACACTTTTAGAATTATAAAAGTAGTCAACTACTATAATAAGAACTTATAACAACTACTATAACAAGGAACAGTCTGCGCGTACCTGCACGGTGACGTGCCCGCGGCGCGCGGCGCCCAGCGCCAGCACGCAGTCGCCGGCGCGCAGGCGCACGCCGCCGCCCTCGTCCCAGTCCGCCGCCACCGTGCGCTGCTGCGGGTAGCCCAGCTTCACGCCGTTGGCCACGGTGTAGGCGCGCGGCGGCGGCAGCGGCGGCGGGCGCTCCTGCGCACACGCACACAAACGTTGCAATAAAACTAGCTTACACTTGAAAGGTAACGTAATAGTAATGTCGCCCTGAGCGATATCGACCACGGTGGCCAATGATCGATCTCACTGAAATTAATCATCTGCGCAGGAGATATGGTGCACTTAGTATATATGCGTACCAAGTACAATACAATAGGCCTTTTACTCCTTAATCTCTTCATTTTAAATTCCGGTGGGACGATAATTCGATTCAGTAAAAGATCAAGCTCAGGACCCAAAGGCTTTTCGCGCCCTGCTTACAGGGAATAACGCATTGCCTTAGCAGAGGGAGTGAATAACGGACAACTTAAAAATCCGGGCTATTACTGAGCATTTCTGACGGAATAACTATTTGGCTCGAACTCAGGACATCCGGATGTTAGACACTCGTCCACTGAGGCGTTATACTTAGAATACCTAGGACCACTGTTATTGGGTAACCTAGTAAAGTTCAATCAAAATCAAGGTATATCTACTTAATACGCGAGTTAGTACAACAAGCTACTCACTAGATCTAGGCCGAAAAGTGAGCATGTGCTCTTGACGATTAGCGGGTCGCACTTGTCGGCGGCGTCGGGCGGCGGCGTGCCGGCTAGCGGCGCGGGGCGGCGGCGCGCGGGCGGCGCGGGGCGTGTCCGGGGCGCGCGGCGCTCGCGCCATGCCGCCTGGATGCGCTCGGCCGCAGCCTGGCGCCGCGCTCGACGCATTCGTTCCAACACCTTCGAATTCATTTAATAATTAAAATGTAACTTTAACACACACGAAACGCAGCTGGAATAATACATGGGCTGCTTGGCATCCAAGGATGCAATCGAACAAAGCAAGGGTGAGTCGCTAGTGTTAAATATTTTCTCCTTTAAAAGGGTGATATTATTTTTTGCTTTTTCTTGTCACTGATAAATCGAGTAGTACCTGCCGCATGCCCTCGCTGAGGAAGACGTGTCGCTTGCCCAGCGCCCAGCGCACGGCGGCGGGCGAGGCGGGCGCGGGCGGCGCGGCGGCGGCGGCCACGGAGCGCAGCACGCGCGCGCACGCCGCGCCCGACTCGCGCTCCACCCCCGCGCCCGCGCCGCGCCGCCACAGTGCGCGGTAGCGGCTGCTGAACGCGCGGAACCGCATGCGGTGAGGGTATCCGCTGGCCATTAGTTGGACTGTTTCTAGGATTTGTAGAGCACGTACCTACGGAAAATATTGGTATTTGTATGAGCAATTTGAGTAAATAAACCTATGGTCGCATCACTACACAATATTAAGATTGCAACATTTTGATATTTGTGATAAATAGAGTAACTCTACTTATCGTCCTGCGCTTACTACGTACTTGCCGCGCAACAGTGGCACGATCGAACAGCATGGGAGTCTCGTTGGCGTTGGCGCGCAAGCAACGCACGAAGTGCGGGCGCGCGTGCACGAGCGTGCGCAGCAGGTTGTCGAGGCGCGTGTGGAAGTCCTGCGTGAGCGTGGAGGCGGGCGCGGGTGCCGCCGCCGCCGTCGGCGCCGCGCGGAACTGCGCGCCGCACGGCCCGCCCGCGGCTGCGAGCGCCTGCGCACGAATGGTATTTAAAACATGTAGCTATATATGTATGTCGAATTACTTACTATGGGGTTTACCAGAATAAAACTTAATTTTACAATATAGCAGCTGCAAATCTAGTCGGTAATTACAGTTTAGATATTGTACACATAAACATTAGGTACAATGTACGATATTTACTAAATTATATATCAAATTATTATTAATAAATATAAGATTTTTTATATATTTTTGTTTTATTGCAAGAAATAGGTAGATTAAATGATTCTCAAGCGCACTTTAAGTTCAGCTCCGAATAGATGCGTGGCAAAGCCGAATTCGCAAGTTCTGGTGTCGAAGGCGGCCAGCAGCTCGTCGGGCACGGCGTCGCGGTTGGCGTCCAGGAAGTCGCTCGCGTCGTACGTGACCTCGCCTGCGTAGTGCCGCACAGCGAAGCGGCGCGGGTGCGGCGGCCGCGCCTCCGCCAATCTGGGATGGCCTCTGTAACACAATAAGTATTTTTACCAATATTTATTTTGAAAGAAATACAGTATATTAAAAATTAGTGATCAATTTAAAAATAAAATGAAATGATCAGTAAAGAAATACTTTACCTATGTGCATTTTTGATGCGCACGACGTACTGCTCGGGCGAGGTGCGCGCGGCGCACTCGGCGTCCAGCGCCGCCAGCAGGCCGGTGCGCAGCGACGACACCAGGTCGATGCACGGCACGTTGTCCACGTACTCCACCTCCAGCGCGCCGCACACGCCCTCCTCCCGACACGACTCGGCCGATGACTTTGAAATAGAAAATAAAAGTTGTTATGGTAGATTTATTTTACAATAATTCAATGAATTATTTAATGGAACATTAAAGTACCTTGAAAACATGCGTGTTGTAAAAGTGCTGCATAGTCTCGGCACAAAGGTTAGCGCACAGATGCTCGAGGCGGCTGGGCCCGGCGTCCTCGAAGCCGAACATGTCCAGTATGCCCACGAAGCCGTCCGTGGCGTGCCGCACGGCGTCGTTGAGCGCCGCCATGGAGCGCGCGCCGGCGCGGCCCCGCGCGCCCCCGCCCGCTGTCGACGCGCGCCGCGACGCTGCGTCCTGATGAGCAGGCGGTGTCAGTGAAACAACTCACTAGGTCCGATACTGACGGGGCGATCGCCCCACTTGTATATGATTTCGACTTACGGATTCGTTGGAATCGGACGAGAGGGTTCCGAGGGTGGAGCCGAGGCGCTTGAGGGAGTTGGCGCGGCGCACGATGGTGGCCACGGTGCGGCAGTACAGCGCCTTGGCGAGCGCGTCGCGCGCGGCGGCGGCGGCGCCGGCGGGCGCGCGCACCGCCCCCCGCCGCGCCACTCCGCGCGCGCCCAGCCCGCGCAGCAGCGCCGCCGCGCCCACGCCCAGCAGCGCGCCCGCCGCCACCAGCTCCGCCTGGCGACAGTCAGGGCGGTCAGTGCCACGCATGTACCGAGATACTCGTAAGATCTATCAATTTAGAAATTTAAAGGACCTCTCCGTTTGGCTCAGCGATGCCTTCCGCGTTGTCGGTGAAGTGCACGTTGCCGAGCAGCAGAACGGCGGCCAGCACGCGGACGACGTCCAAGAACGGAATGCCGAGCACCCCCAGGCAACTCTTCCACGCGAGGAACCGCGCACCGTCCTCCGCTTCCGGGCGACGCGGATGCGACGTCGCCAAATATCTATTTAATTGTCAATGTTGGTTATAATTTTTTCATGACTTAAAAAACAATATTGTGCTCTAAGGCAATAGCCGTAGGTTACACACAATATGTGTAACGAAGTATAACGGGGAGAGTAGTCAGGAGTAAATAAAGAATAAACACAAAGTGAATACATCCGATTTACGTATTTCTGTACTTTTAGTTGCCGTCTTACCACTTTTGTTTCCCTTGTTTTCACTTAGGATTTAGTGAGTCTATGTACCATTTAGAGAGATTATTTCACTTCCCTGAATACTTTTTAAGACATCGAATCACTTCTCTTCAACTTCTTTTGTTATTCGAAATTAAGTTCTTTCTTATTAAGTTCTTCATCTTGAGTGTATTTAGCTTAAATCGGCTATAATAATAACAAACTAATACACATAATAATTTCCACATTTCCTTTATCCTTTATCAAACACGATAGAGAATTAACAAAGAGCGATTACCGCAAGTCATTAGCCGTGTACCCGTCGAGGTGCAGCTGCGCGCGCTCGTCGGGCGCGAGGCCCGCCAGCAGCTGGTAAAAGATGTGGTAGTTGCACTCGCCGGGTGGCGGCCGCACCACGCGCGTCTGGTCCAGAAAGTAGCAGTGGATCTTGGTGCGGTACAGCGCGCCGTCCGTCACTTGCACCTCGATGAAATGACCCTGTCGTACACCATCTCAATTATTAGCTGACTATTTTATAATCATTTATTATTATATTTTTTTCTACTATATTTATGTTCGCTAAGATGTGTTACCTATAAATAAACATTTAACTCACAATTCGGCTCGAATGAGAATTGGCATGCGTGGCGGCCGTGCCCAGCGAGCGCAGCACCGTAAATGCCGCGGCGAGGTGCTTGAAGGCGTCGGTCTCGGGCCCGCCGCCCGCCACGTCGAACAGTCTCCGGAGCAACACCATCGACGCGTAAGTTTTGCCCGACCCAGAAACACCTGTGCGCCCAGGTACAACATTTAGTAATCGATATCGAAAGTGTTTCAGCGAGACAACATTATGAATGAAACAAGAAATTATATTTTTAAGAGAGTTTACAAAGTTCTTCTCAGTAATATAGCTGAATGACAAACATCTGAGTAATAGCATACAGTAGAAATTATAAAGATATACCTAGCAATATACAATAAAAGGAAAACGTTAGTTACCAGATAAAATGATAGCCTGCGGGGAGCCGGTGTCGGCCTGGTGGCGCACGGCGTCGTGCACGAGGCGCGCCAGCTCGGGCCGCTGCGCGCGCGCCGCGCCCGGTGTCAGCGCATTGCCCGCGTCCGTGTACGCGTTCATTGCGATCAGGATCGGCCCCACCGACGTCTGCGGACACCATCACGCCAGATTTAATGTCATTATGCTCCATAAAAAACGGGTGTGAGAAAACATAGTATTCGACAACTGCAACTTACGTAGTATTTGTTGTGATAGAACCTAGCTTGCAGCGCGCGGACCACGGCGTCTTCCGTGAGCGGGCCGCGCAGGTGTATGAGGTCGTCGACGTCGGAGGCGGCGCCCGCCGGCGCGACGCTCGCGCTCGCGCCGCGCCATCTCACCTCTATGTTAATAATAGACGTTATTGATCAATCATTTATAAAACACTTCAGGCCATATACTCGTACGTAGATCGATTTATTTTTCATGGATATATCTCGTTTGCCAAAATAAGATCAATATTGGCATGTGCCTTTCTTTTTTAGGTACACATGGACCGATAAGTTGTATTCTCAAACGTAAGACGTTCTCGCCGTCTCTTCTCGGTATGAACAACATTCCGATGCGTGAACCGGTGCTGGCTCATGTCATTCGACAATATTGCAAATAAACGATTCGAAAGTTAGTTAAGCTTAATTAAAAAGAATATTGCGTCGCTTGTTACCTTTTAATGCACTCCTAATTTTATACTTTGGGACATTAGCAATCATAAATACTTTTATATTATTATTATTTTTTTAATTCAATATTGTATAGTAAGTATATGTTAAAACCTGGCGGGGGTGGTGGGGGATGATGCGGCTGCAGGGGGGGTGCGGGCGCGGGCGGCGGCAGAGGCGCCCGCGGCGGCACGGCGGGCTGCGGGGTGCCGCCGGCGCCGCCCGCGCCGCCTGCGCCCGCCGCGCTACCGGCCGCCGCCGCGCCGCCCACGTGCAGGTGGTTGCGGAGGGTGACCAGCTCCGAGCTGAGGCTCAGCAGCCGCCGCTGGAGGTGGACCGCTTCGTTCGAAGACGAGGCGTCTGAATAAAAGATTTAAGATATAAAGTTTACTGTCTTACAATAACATGTTTAATATTTTGAAATAGTTAAAGTACTTAATACATAATATGTATATTCAGTTACCACGCGTGAAACTAACTAAATCCAAGACATCGATAGTATTGATTTATAAAAAAAGGTCATATTAATGATGTCATAATTTTCACATAAAGTTCCATCCGCACTATCGCGTGTACTAGAATCTAAACGTTGACTGACGGTTGAGATAATTCAAATCATACCAATATAAATCTACTGGATCTTAGATGGAGAGTAGGTACGTTAACGAACATAAAACAAGTTACCTTGGTATCAAATTTCCATGACATAACAGAAAAAAAAACAAATAAACAAAAATACATGTACAATGTTGAATAATAAAAAAGTGTCTTAGGGGCTATTAGCTGAATTTGACAAGTACTTACATACTACGCAGGTTCCTTAAAGGTCATTTATGATATATTTGAAAAAATGCCAATCAACAATATTTTTGAAATATAATATTGTTTCCAAACATATAAATGAATCTAATGACTTTGTTGTGTTGAAATAAAAAAAAATAAGATTCTTGGCAATCGTGTAATTTTTCTGCCATCAGTTCATAAATACGAAATCTATATAAAATTTACAATTAATAACTAAAAAATATGCACTGAGAGCTTTTTGTTCACCTAGAGTTTAAAACACCGTAAAAAGTTTTAGTAAAATTTAACAGAATCAATAATCATACGAATATACAATTTTGGCATTATGTTATTGTCAGATATTCTATACTAAATATTTACTTAATAATTTCTCTTGCCGTAGTAGATATTTTATATTAAACCAAGTATAATACAAAATAAAAATCGTGGTAATTAAGTAGTCTATCACGTGTAACCCTCTTTTTTAGATTAGAAAATAGTATATGTAGGTACCTATTAAGTCGGTCCTCGTAATGCAAGCTATGCTTGTGCTACATGTCACCGCGATCTGTTCAGCGGCTGGATATGAAAATGTAACAAATAAGCATATTTAGAATATACGATGAAAAAGATAAAATATAAGATGATATTAAAATTTGGAAGTTGTACAAATGTTTTATCGTATCAATCGTACGCCGGTTGTGACGTGTACCTACTCGAAGACTACCATTTGTTAGTTTTTCGATAATGGTCGAACAATGATTCAGCCATATCTACCTATATTTATTTTCAATTTAGTTTCGTCATTGAGACGTATGTATCAAAGTAGATATATCATATCAATGTAATATAATATCATTAATAAAATGTTTATTTAATTGACGCTTACATAGACACTGATGTAACAAAAAATACTTTTCAATTTTTTATAATTAACAGAAGAACGCGATGTGAGATAAGCACGCGTCATGAGAAATTCGTGTCGTTGACGAATAAAAAATGGTAATATTTCCGTGAAATCATCTAAGATGGCTCACAAATATAACCTCATGGGTCGCGCGCAATTTCAGAGGAGGCAGTGAGCTGGCGTAGCGGCGACTCTGCCGAGGGGTAGGGGGGGGGAGACAACCGGTCGTCCAGGCGCTGCGGCCTCCGAGTGTTCCGGACTCGACCACGTCCAGAGACTTCGACCTTGCGGCTAAAGAGTTAGAATTTGTTTTGAGCTGGAATTCGGAACACATGCCGCGTCAAAAACCTTTTTATTGGTGCAAGATCGAAGGACGCCGCCTCCCCGGCCGCCTCCGTCGTAGCTTCGAATATTTGACGCTATTGTTGATGTAAGACCACTCACCATCTGCGAGGGACTCGTGAAAGTTGTGGGGATTTGTCGGGTCGATGAAACGCAAACTCTACATTTGCATAAGCTCATATCACCACCCAAGTAATAGGTACATATTTATTTTTTGCAGTCTCGTGTCGAGTGAGATGATCGCGGAGCACGTATGAACGGTTTTTGATATCAACTGCAGCGGGGTGATTTTCCTCATATCGACGATACGATGGCAGTATATACATCGATACGGGCATAACTGTGAGTGGGTCGGCCGACTATTAACGTTCTCTCCGAAGGAATGCCGGCCGGGGTGCGCGGCGTGTCCTCAACTCATAAACGCTCCAATCTCACTACACTCTACAAGCGTACTAAGTTAACCAGTCTTTATTTTAGAATCTACACTAAAATTAAAATAACAAACCCATCGCTGCTACTGATTATTATATCATGAATGGTCCAATAAATGACAAAATGATAACTATTATTTGTTTATTTTGTGTAAAACACTTTATTTATGGTTTTGAACCAAGTTATTCAAATAACTATTAGCGACTTTTACCTTTTTTCTTTGTTAATTAATTGGCATTTAAATATGAAATTTGATCTACATTGGCATGACCACAGAATAATGCGCGATAAAATCTCAAGTATGCAAGCACATGTTGGTATACAAGAATGCACGAGTCATTTGTGGTGGTGTATACGTAGTGTGCGCGTTGGGAAGGGCTGCGGTCTCATTGCTTCTACTGACCTATTGTTTTCTTAGCTTTAACGCTAAATTACGCTTTCGGAATTTGTAAGTGAAAAGGTTCTAAGAGTATAAACAAGCACAAAATGTATTGTGAACATTGCAACCCCGTTTTTATTATAAATTAGTATGGATACCAATCCCACGATAACGTAATTTTTAAACAATGTGATATTCCAGACTATAATTTATGTCGTTCTGGCGTGATCGAGTAACAAACATCCATCCATCTTTTTGGCATTTATTATATTTGTAGGATTAGTAGCGGAAAAACAAAAACAAATCTGTCCCATGAGAACCATACATTTTCACCTGAAAAAGTAGCGTATGAGCTATCCCAGACTATATCTATCTTTGTGTTAATTTTCATGAAAAATGATAATGGATTTTATCAATAATCCAGATCCGTTCAACCGTTCTGGCGTGATTGAGTTACAAACATCCGAACATGTAAACTTTCACACTTTATTATTTTTTATTAGCTTTTATTAGTTTTCATTTTTAATACTGTATAACTGTACACTGAACAGTAAATAAGTAGAAAACGACAAGGACTGCTCAAATCCGGTATGGATTACCATATGAAGAAAATATTACACATGCTCTCTTCTCCAAACGTGTGGTATATAATCAATTTATAATGGAACAATTAAAAAAAGATAAAATGACTTTCACCTCACAGTACCACAGTTGATTAATAGTTCTACGCCCTTCGGGGATTTTTTTTATCAAAGACGTTTGTTTCTCTCAATCTGATTAAAGTAGCAAGAGATTCCACATGTATCTACAGTTCGACACTCAAAGTTGGCGAAAAGCGAAGAACGGATATAACGTCACCTAACTCAAAGGCTAATAAAGTACAATATTTATACATAAGCTATCAAATAACATTTTTTCTATATAAAGAATAAAACAGCTAACGATTACAGCTAGTGTGCCTGTTTCCTAATCGAAGACATCGCAAAAGGTTCCGGTACCTGAGGGCTGAGAATGAGTATAATTACTATACCACCATAAATATTATACAAAGTTATGGATGTGGTACTCAACATTCAGAAAATCTTTAATTACGTTCCGTCGTTTCTCGTCCAATTGAATAGATAAAGTTATTTTTGTTTAAATAGTTAAAGTGAAACTTGCAAACTATATTTTTGATTCTAATTTTGAAGTCCTGGCCGACTGCCGAGGTCCATCAGCAAAACTTTCATAGATAGTTTCACAATATTTTTAATTTGTTTGGATTCTAATGACAGCCTTCTTGCTAACATGTCGATCACGAAGCTTATTTGATTGGTCTATCTACCATTCATGTGCCTCCATGAATGGTAGCTTAAACTGTGTGAGCGCACGAGAATCGTAAATCATAATATTTTATCGGTGGTAGAGTTCATGGCTTCGTGTTTTTATGCTTAGACATAAACAGCCGGCAGCTTGCCTTACTAGCGTTAAAAAGTTACGCGCGTTTAGAATAAAGCTTTTACTTTCTGCAGCGGACGCGCGCCTCGCGGGTGGACGATGTAGGAATTTAAATACCACCTTTGACTTAAGCTACGTCAGTAGGTATTGTATATGTCGCAGGAAAATTGTAAGATCCGCTAAATTATAATTAATAGTATACTAACAAATAGTCTTCTAAAATTTAAAAATTATTCCACTTAGTTCACTGGTTGTAGCACTCTATGTCGAAATAACATTTTTAGTTTTAAAAAACGTTTTGTTTTGTTGATTCACTGATCGCAGTGAACCGACCAATCAAAACAAACCGAGGCTTCCCACCACATCCTGCTATTGCTACTATTGATAATTTAACAAGAGGAAATCATAATTTACCTAAAAATGTCCCGTGATATTGTAAGAAAAGGATGAGCGTGATTGCGAGATGCGTGAAACAGGAGCTGTTACCGTTTACTATAATCTACATAATTCACATTAACTATTTATAATTTACGGCAGTTTGTGGTTTATGTTAGTATTGACATTTTTTCATCATCTTCAACTTTTGTATATCAATAACATGACATTGCCCCTGTAGGCTTAAGATACTTACTAAAACATTGTTATTTGATTAATATAAATACTTATTAATGTACATACGAAAAGGCCTGTCTATTGATTGAGGCAGCAGTAGATTTCTGGCTGCGAGATTCTTGTTAAAAACAAACAATGAAAAACTACTGATGTTTTAAACAACAAACACTTCTCTATAATTCTTCTTAGTTCGTATCCGCTTGTAATTGCAACACATGGTATAAGCAAATAAACATATTTCGCTCTAGTAATTGAAAAGTAAAAAATCTTCGAAGCGAATAAAACGATATGTAACGAACTACGAGTATGTCAGCGATAATGAGACAGTTTGAGTGATGACTTCTTTTCCCATATTAGAGAGATTTAAACGCATCTGGAACGATTTTCCCCTCGAATAGTAATCAAATGACTTCCTTTAACGGCTCGAAGGCACTCGAGACAGAAGGCACGCCAGACTGCTACATTTCTAATGGGAACTTGGATGTGTGAAAAACTCGCGTAATTGCTTGGCCGCGACTCGTAAGAAACTTATGACATACCAGTGTAGCGAGTGCCCGCGCCTGCGCCTGCGCTTCCTCCTCAGCCACCGTTGCACTAGACAATGTCTTGATTAACTCATACCACTGTGTTAAAATAGGTACGTGAGTTTATTGTATATCTCCGTTATAAAAGGTGGACATTATTTAGTTAATGTTGTGAAAAGTAAATCTTAGGACATCAGAGGCCACGACCGGTACATTTAATTTGATGTTTTTGAGTCGTATGTTGACTACCGTAAAAAAACATTTAGGTATTTGGGGTCAAGATAAACGTTCGAATGTTTTGTTCGACATAAACATGTTTGGGGCAGGGTGAAGTTCATCGACCGATACGTACTACTAAAGTTAAGCGAGCATACGAGGAGAAACCAGAAGTGGTCCGCAAGGCAGTGAATAGAGTACCTACTACCTATGTATATGTACGTGTCTAATCGCGCAGCGCAAAAACGCGCAGGCACGAGAGGCGCGGGCTCGGCGGTCGCGCGTCGCTCGCGCGCGTGGCAGGTGTTGAGGAATGTTCTCATTAGGCGTCGCCGCGACGAGCGCGACACTTGCGCGCTCGCTACCACCTACTGCCTGTACACAACGTCACGTGGTGAATCTACTACGCTTCAGCGAGGAGTTCTCCTCGCTGTTTTATTTTTGAATATGTTGCATGAACATTCGTAGCGGTAGAGTAGGTACCTATTCTAAACTTAGTATTATATCATGGAAGAAATATGGGATACATGTGTTTAATGAGTTTTTTTTAACATGTTAGACGTTAGAATAAAATAAAATAACTTGTGAGGTATGACAATTCTGAAAAACCATTACGTAAGTAATGTACGAGCGCGATAGATATCTCGGTACATGGCGTATCCCGACGCAAGGCTCGCTCGTGTACACTATACAGTGGACGACGATATCTGATTATACCTAAATATATAATAAAATTATAACGGGCTTAATGTTGTATTACATGGAACATCGTTTCATATTTTTGAAGTGAATTAAGTTTGTGGTATTTCATGTCCGTTGTTTGATCGCGTATTGTTTAAGGAACGTTAGACGAATATCAAGGGAACTCTTTTACTGTAAAGTAAAATAATATCTACAAAGGTATCGCTCTAGTTCCAGGTTATTCATCCTGTCATATCTGGTGACATTGGTGGTGGTATTGGTTGTGGATTAACAAAACAAATGGCGTGAGCGAGTCGAGCATAGGTAGTACATATTTTTACTCGTGTTTGCTTGAGTTGTGAAATCGTACAAAGTGTACTAATGCTATGATGTATTATATAAATACCTATCACTTAGATTAAACCACTATTTTTATAGCTATGTTCAATTCGAGCAGTCGATAACGAGGAGCTTCGAGTTCGCATATCTATCGTACACGGTACAACTACCACGGTACATGGTATGTACGTGAAGAAGAAAGAAATTATTAATTAAGTATAGCTGATCATTTTGATAAGTTCTATAATTTTCAATCAAATATGTAAAAAGATTTAATTTAAGTTGATTTATTCGTAACTATTACAATAAATTATTTATTCAAGATGAAACATCAAATTAAGAATGTTACCGCTTCCGGCGGCACTCGACATACGGCTCTGCTTATAGAGCGTTCATACGTACATACATATATAATAGGTAGATATATACTTGTTTATGTTCCTCTACTTTGATAGGGATTGAGTGGAAAATGATGTTATTTTGTAAATTATTAAAAACTTTCTTTATTAAATTAGTTTTAGCTAAACGGATTTAAAATTAAAGAAAAATATATTTATTATGATTATATTCCTAATAAGAATAGTACCATAGCATATAAATACATTTGTGTTATTAGCCCGTATATTACACGTACGTATACACACGTAGGAACATTAAACACAAAATATGAAGAATAATTTACTTGTTAATACAAATTATTGTTTCTTCCGAAGCGAGGGCGCGTTGAATTCTTTTGTGCGATAACATTAACTCGTAGCCGTAGCGTTCGAGTAATTAAAGTCCATTCCTATTTTAATTATTTAACTTAATATATTATTACTATTGCATTTTTAAAGTAAATGTCAAAGAACTTACTTGTTTTGTATGGGCCTAGTTTCTATAATTCGAACTTAAAACACAACTGAGTATACTTTTTACATATTTCCTCACTATAATAAACTAGTACATGGACTCGTTGAGCGGTCAATTTTGTAATTACCAGCTGTGACTAAGATTTTTCTGACAAAATACCTAATAAGTCTTTCGACGCAATATGAAACTCGAGTCCAGTACCTACCTCATACGGTCAATGAGCGAGTCGCGTAATACATAATTGTTTACGTGCAAATAATATCTGCAATAGTATCAACGTGCTAGGATCGAGAGGTCAAAGGGCGAGGGAAAGGCGCTGTCCCTACTAGGAGCCGCCTTGAGTCTCAGCACGCTGCTCAAATATGTTCAAATCTGAACTTAGTTTTCTTCCAATAGTTAACGTACGTTTTTATGTGAGTCCGTGGAATGTAGTATTGCAATGTTAATACGCGACATTGGTGTAAGTCGACGAATAAATCGTGTGATCAGTGCAGCCGTAAGTGAACGCACGTAATGCGTTAGTGATCTATGACATGAGACATCTCCATTTGTGTCCACCAGCTTTTTTCTATGAGCTTCGTGCTGCGCCCGATGGCTCTACATTATGTTTATTTATAATCTTGTCTCGCCATACGAATATGGTCGAAGCGAGGTGCATCGCTTTACATAATGACGTTAGCGCAGGGCGGCGCGGCGAGAGCGAACAAAAACTGCGCGTGCGCCGCGATCCCGTGTAATTGCAGCCACACGCACGTCTCCGTGCTCACTATTCACTCGTTACTCGTCACATACATATCTTAAAGCTTTCGAGACCATTGCGAGAATAATAGACATGGTGTCAATATTATACTGCAATATTATACTGTTCTATTTGAAGCTTTGACGAAGTTTTGTCTTATTATGTAGAAAAATGTCATGAAAAATAAAAAACTACGCATAGATAATATAGAGAAAAATCCAAAATAAGAAAAACAAAGTATAAATAACCGGTCGGGTTGTTGGACTGAAAATAATTTATGAGCTATGAGTAATAGATGTAATATAGTCCTGTTAAAAAAGCTTTCAACTGCATCGGTGGCAAGCTTACAACTTGCTTGCAGAGTGAGCGGAGTCACAAACAAGAGCAGTGTTCCAGAAATATTATTGTGGTGCTCATAAGAACCTGTAGAGAAAAGCACCGCGCAGTCGAAAGGGCCGAATTTACTTAGATACCTGCGCGCCCCCTCCCTCCCGCGGGCCCTACTTGACCCGCCCGCAGCCCCGCGCCGCGTACTGTCTATGAGCAGAGCCGTTAGTCGCCGGCGCGGGCGGCGGCGGGCGGCGGGCGCAGCCGCCCTGATCTATAGCGGCTATCTTTACATAGAGCTGTAATTGTTATGATACTGCGTGCGGCGACTAGGTTGCATTCACGAGAAAGAGAATGCACTAAGATATTTTTGCAATATCTATCTTTTGAGCTTTGTTTTATGACGTGTTAAAAAGTTATAATTATCAAATAACAGTTTAATTTGTAATATTTTATTAAGACTCTTTTTAGTGGAAGATAATATAAATTAATGATAAAAAGGATTTTGTTTTCTTATTGATAAAGAACTTACTAATTGAAAAGGAAAGAAGTGACCCAGCGGAAAGAGAGAGAGAGCTTCTACACCTATTATCTTTTGAACTGAACGAACCTTCTCGTGACTCAACATCACAATGCGATCTACAAAATGAACGAGCACAAAAACATATTTAACGAGCGCGGACGAAGGTAGAGCTCCAACCAATCGGAGATATAAAAGAGATGAATGCTAGATTCATGACGTTTAGTATTCACGTGTAACAAAAATTGATAATTCGAAATTTGGGCACATAATATTAATACAATGATCACAAAGATATCGCTTGCGCCGGCGCTCACGCAGCGTCGCAGAGGCGGCCGGGACGCGGTCGGCGCTCGCTCACCTTGCAGCTTCTTCTCTGTCTCCCAGAACTTTTGCAACTCAGTGAAGTACTTGTCGAGGATGAACACCTTGGACAGGCCGAGCGTGGCCATGGCGGGCGGCGCGCTCGCATCACACTTCGCGGCCGCGCCGCTCTCTGCCGACAACGGCGACCACTCTCTCACGCGTCTTTCCGCGGACTGGCTCGCCTCGCCCCGGCCCCCGCCCCCGGCCTGCGCCCGCGCACCCCCTGCCACCGCGCCGACCGCCCCGCACAGATTCCTCTGCCACGCGCCCGCAAAACCTTCACACTTAAAAGCCCTATATTAAACTGTTAAACTTTATTAATTTTTAAGTGAATTTACTAAGCGCATGACAAAATATTTGGTCGAAATTCCGGTATCCACTGGGCCATGCTTAATATGTTGATACATGTACTTATGTGGAAGTAACTAATGTCACCGGCAGCGATTGAAACACCTAATTAAACAGTACGTTTTATGTTCATATACGAGTAATATATTTCTTAACGACTGCAGGTGCTTTCTAAATAGTATCTTAAAGTATATTTCGTGTTCAATTGAGTTATGTTAGAGTCGCGGGCGGGCGAGGAGGCTGTGAGGGCGCGGCGGGCGGGGCGGGCGGTGGCGGGGGACTGGTTTGTTTATTTGTAAGCTGCCGAAAGCTACTCTCATAGCCCTACGAATCTCTGCCGCTATTCTGAACTCTTTTAGCCGCACCGCACTACAGCGCTCACCCGCCCAGCACTGTGGACCAGTAATGGTGCATGTCGATCGAGTTAATCCAACAGCGCCGTTACGAAGCCAAATTGCGGACACACACGCCAATCTCAAATAATTAATTCGATCTACTCTGATTGACTCTTTTTAGTTTACGATGTAAACTTTCCAACAAACACCTGTGGGCATAGATAAGATAATATTCTACAGCAGTTAATGCTAATAGAAAATTAAAAATACGGAAATGACATATTTGAACGTTATGTCAAAAAGCCATTCCCATTTCCCATATATTTTGTAGTTCTCTATTAGCTATAACTTTTATAGAAAGTCAACCTGTGTAAGATCCTTGATTTCGAATATAAAAACTAGTCTTCAAATAATTTTTCCAGAATTATATGGGGTAGCTGCTTGTTCCTGTACCTTTCATTTCTTTTTAATTAATTATTTAACGACTACAAACTCTACCTATGCCGCCAACACCTACATAAGCAGTAAGGAAAATACTAAATCTGAGTCATGACATACCTCCGAATTTGTCAAGATGTGTTGATCATCGAGATACCTCAAGTGAATAAAATTCAAACTGTAAATATTTTGTTGAGTAGTATGTCGTTTTTAATAGGCTTTATAGCTAATTAATTAATTTCCATAATATTATTTTAATACTAAGTATTTAAAACGTAAAAGAACTCTATTAACATATTTTATTACATACATATTTCATGAATGCGATAAAAATGAGAATGGTCAATGGGCCAGTATGTAGGTACCTATAATATATTTAATGGAAATAATTCATGCGTATTTGCAAGTCATGATATTGTTAATAATATTTCGTATTTATTTTCTCAGTGCGCTGCCACCTAGTGGCCAGAGTGTGACACTAGCGCGACTGTGCGCAGTGCGCAGTGCGCTCGCGCGAGTAGTCGTTCAGCGATCAAGTCGATCTACGGTAGCCTATACTTGAAGGTTACCATTTCTGCCGGAAGGGGTCGCGGTCTGTATGAAGAATTAGTTATTAGAATGTATATTGTATAAGTGTTACTTATTACTTATTATGTATTAATACATTTTTAACCGACTTCCAAAAACGAGGAGGTTCTCAATTCATCGTAATCTTTTTTTTTAATGTATGTGCACTGATTACTCGAAGACGCCTAAACCGATTTGGAAAATTTTTGTTTTGTTTGAAACGGGAGTTGTAACTAAGTTGGGAGTTGTACTGTTGCCAGCGGTCAAAATGTTAAGATATGAATATCTAATAGGTAGATATGTATTTTACGTATCAAAATATATTAGATTTCCTATGCGTCGGCTGGCACCGACTTCGAAAATATCCGGTTAGGTATCTAATCTAAATGAAAACCCCCGTTTAGTTACTTTTCACATTTTAGTGCCTGGAAGTCGGTTTCACTTTTTTTTTAAGTTTTTATGAGATTAATTTTTTTTAACATCGGATCAAAGATTTATTCTTAGTGTTGAGCCTTCATAAAAAGTATAAATGTAAATACATATACTACGAAACTATTCACTGAGTTTTTGCGCTAATTGCCGCTTAATCAGTTACTTTTAACTTATTAAGTGGTCATATTAATATTAAAAAATATTTTACAGTATAACTGAGTGCCTCTTACCAATAAATAATAAATTCACAGCAGCGCACATCACGGAGTACCCGCACAGATTGTGTGTTAGCGTACCTAAGTAGGTATGTACATACGAGTACATGTGATAAATAAAAATATAAACTTAAAGTAAAAAGGTTACTTAAAAGAACACGACGAACGTTTGAGAGCGCGCGACCACGGACTGCGCAGTATATTTTGTAATCTTAGTTCCTATACGAGTACAGTTACAACGATGTAATTCATTCCATTGATAATCTTTATATATCACTCGGTCACACTGCTCAAATTAAAAACACGGACGGTCTACGGATATTTACTTGCCAAAAAACTTTAATAACTGTGTGATTGCGGTGACTGCTCGTGATCTCTCGGAGCGGTCTGCAACTACGAACTCGTCATTTCAGTAGATCTCTTCATATCGACTTGAGGTGTGGTTCACAGTTCACAATTACTAATAGGTACTTAAGGGATAAATAAAAATAATTTCTTTATCAATTACATGAGTATAGCATATAGTGGCGAGTTCTTGCGAAGTGTAATTCTCACATAACTATATAATATGCAATATTTGCTTTGAATCGTTACTCATTAATATCGCAGACAGAGAAAAGAAAACCCATCGCCGGGAGACACTGTGTGCTACTCCCCTCGATCCTTAATTCGATTTAGAATATTGTTGAGGAATGAATGTGTACATACATTGCATTCTTTACTAAAACTTTTATCAAATACTTAGTTTAAAAATTAAAAACATACGCAACAGCGCTGAGCACGCTGTCGCAGCGACGCGCGTCGTGCGCGGCTTCTTCTTCATTAATTTGACTTCTACTATCTTCACATGAGTTTATAAATTTAATTCATTGTACATTGATACTTAGGATATTATATGATAAAATTTTCTGAGTTATTACGCACCTAATTAAAATCAAATATCAATAATTTCACTTTCATAATAATAAATCCCAGCTAGAGTACATTTTTCAAACAATATCACCTAACAATTTCTTAAAGATAAATTTAGTCGAGTGCAATTAGTCATTATAAATGAAAAATGACGGAACTCAGCTATAATGAATGGATATTTTATATAGAAACCGAGTTATTCTTGGAAGAAAAAATAAATATAGCTGTAAAAGGAATGTACTATACTAGAAGCATCATTTTTATGGGATAAACTTTTAAAAAACAATAGCGGAATATTTCAAAAGGTGAACTATTTACTTTTTAGTATAAGAAATTCAAAAAATCCAAAAACAGCCAAATCCATTCATTATAGCTGGGTTCCGAGATATAAACCTAATTGCATTCTACTAATTGAACTCTAGAACACTCGATATCCTGATATATATCTTTGTAGGTTTTATTGTATCTTAAATGAAACCCCCTTTTCAATAGTGAAAATAAAGAAAATCATTAAAATATTTTTCCATTTTGAGGCATGGAAAAAATCAATATGAACAGCAGTGTCCTTCCTTTGTATTTTTATAACAATAAATTACCTAATAAGATAAGTAGGCACCTATACGTAACCTTTGATATTACGATAAATTAAAAGATAAACACATTTTTTGCAATATTGAAGGTAACACGAGACACAAGTACACTACTCGTATAAGAAATATTGGGATCCTAAAAGCAGCCGATATAGGAAATGGCAATACGAGGCTACAGTTTCGTTACAGGACAATGGACGGTGAGCGCCAATTACGCCGCCCTGTGCGTGCGCGCTCCCGATAGCGGCAACACTCTGACACGTGGTTATATTGTAATAGGTATAATAAACATTCTTTTAAAGTATGTACAAGCTTACTTCATCGTCGAGTTAATAATTTGTTTTTAAAATTAGAAAAATATTTGAGACGAAATAATTACAACAATACCCACCAACCCGCACTTGGTCAGCGTGGTGGACTATGGCGTGATCCCCCTCGCATTGAAGGGACGTGCCCAGCAGTGGGACGTTAAAAAAGGCTGAATTACAATTACAACAATGTATGGAAGGCCCATAAAATTGTACAAAAATATCTTATAACGCGATTTGTTACGCCTCACAAAATCATATATTTTCCTCTATGGCTATAGAATATAGAGGAAATGAGATTTTGTAACAAATACAATTCAAGTATCTACTTTATCACTGGCAGTATCTATAGTATATGAAAAATTATTGATTTATTATAATTATCGTTTATGAAAAGAAATGACTAACCGAGTCGTTGGTCCCGAATGCGCCGCTGGTGCCGCGGCCGGCGCTGGCTGCCCTCCGCCTGCGACGTCTCTTTTTTCTCTTCGCCCAAAGTCGATGATCTAAATAATAGCCCTTTTAACTAGTAGATATGAAAATCAATTCAAGCTTATATTTCTTCTGAATATCTAGGAAAAATTATTATACTCGTACATGTAAAGTGGTCCTTTAAGAAGCATTAGCAGCTTGTAAACTGTATGAGCCTATGAATATTTTTTGATATCTATAGTATGTTTAGAGAACCTGAAAAATATTACTGCTCAAAAAACTTTGCATAAGATTATTATTATTCATTTAAAAAAATATTTTTCTTAGTGGTTACATCCGTTGTCATAAGAATTGATGATCAGAATTTATCTTCTATACTTACAGTCGAAGTATACTGAGTCGAACCTATACATTAAATAATTTTTTGAAAATTTTGTGGGAATAGTTATTATTATCGGTACAGAGGCCGAATCTGTAGTTTTTGGAATATTTCTTTGTCTGTCTGGGAGCGCATCACGCGAAAACCACTGGACCAGATTTTGATGAAATTTTGTATGAGGATAGCTGGCAATCGGAGTCAACATATAGGATTTTTACTTAATTTTTTACTGGGAGAAAATATATCATCTCTGAGAAATCTTTACTACACGTTAAAACGTAATTAGGGACGTACCCGAGTAGAGCGAGGGTGAGTCACTAGTATAGTATGTAAATTGAAACCTGTGCGTTTGTCGCGAGCGATATGTGCAGAAGAAGTCCGGGCGGACGCGATGCGCGCGCAGCAGCGCGGCCAGTGCGGGGGCCGAGGCGCCCTCGTACGTCTGGTCGGGCAGCAACATGCCGCGGGCATGGCGTCTCGACAGCTCCGCACCACTTTATTTGTATCTATAACATACGTTGCACTTGTGTCTATTGTTATTGTTACACCGCGGCCTAAAATCGACTCAACAATAAACAACGTTGTAACCTATACAATCCTTTTACTCAAAAAGTATATTATCTCGTGAGCACTAGCGTAGTAGTCAATGTCCAAACCCGACACATATCTCCATCAAGTAATACATGAATGATGATTTAAAAAGTTAAAGTACCGTATCATTATTAACGTTTAAAAAGTATTGTACCTATTGGAGAGTGTCAGTTACTTATTAAAATTACATTATTATACTCTTTGAGGCTTACCGGTACTCTGCTAGTATCCCAATTGAAGATCGCAAAAATAATTCCATAAAAACAAGCTGTTTCTTATCGAATGCGTCCATTGATTTATCAGTATTCGATCCTCGAACGAACCCGACGACTTCGCAGAGTTTTGATGAGGTATGATCGACGTCCTGTCACAATACTTATTTTTTTATTCTTTTGAACGCACTATTTATCAATACGTCGTATAAATATTTGTAAATTTAACGAACAAGATGCTACAATAGCATGGCCCGTGGACCCGGTGAGCATTCATTACGATCGGTGAGTCGACAGAAAAGTGCCGAAATCCAACAAGTTTGGATTCTTTTAACGATCCGAACCCACGTTTAATGTTGTGAAATCATTTAGCTCAACTATTATTGTTGACTTAACGTCGAACTTCGTCTGATATCACGCACTGACAAAAACAACGGGGACGCGGTCTCGGAGCGCGGCCGCACGAGGGGAGCGCGGACAGGCGCGCGCGAACTTTTTGCTAGGATTCGGCACCGCAGTCCGCGTTACAACACCTCCGCACCTTCAGCGGAACACTACTAGCTCAACACGGTCCTCACTCTGCCTATATATAATTATTTATTTAGTGAATTCACAACACTGAGCACTCAAAATTACTTTTAAAGAAAAGTATTTTTATTTTGAGAAAAATAAAATATATTATTTTGAGTTCACATGTCACAGTGTGATTCATATCTAGTAAATGCTCGTTGATCAGTTTGTTGTAACTTGTATGCCGTATGGTTCATTTCACAAAATATTGTAAAATGATAAATTAGTTTTGAAGAGAGTTTAAAACAAAAATAGTGTGAGAGCTATCACATCTGCGACTACACGTGAGGCACGAGTGTGACGGCACGAGAGCGCGAGGCGGCGGCGGGCAGCGCAGTGGAGCAGTCGGTCAGCTCGTGGCCGCCGCGGAGAGAGCGCCGCGTGCTTCGCGGAACGACCTCCGCATTTGGAAGCCGTCCGCATTCGATTCTGCGATCATCACATATGATCGCCTGTCGACGACATGTTCACTGCTCATATTCATTGGACTCATGTTCAAAACCTGCTCGTATTATACGATCCCTAGACAGCAGGTTCATCGCAATGCGCCGCTAAAAAGACCTTTTGTGTGTTTTATGTTTTTTTAATTAAATTAATAGTAATAACGCAACTAAATGTATAAAGTAAATGCAATATAACTGTTGACAATAATGTAGTAAATAGCAACGAGTATGTGAAGTATAGCATCGCACGTCTGTCTGGTTGCCCAAACAAGTGACATCAGAAAAACACGCAGCAGCCGCGTCGCCGCGCGTCAACTCGTCACATTATAAATTCTAATCCCGACCACGACCGCCGCGCCGCGGGTCGGCCGCGATCCGCTGCCGGCCGCCGCGCCGCACGCCCAACAATAGCGTCTTGGATTGTAGTAATAAAATGATGTGATGTTTTGTATAGCGGTAGTTTATGGGGCTAGAATTAATTATTAAAAGGAGTAATTAAATAAAAATCATGATTTTTCTTTATTTTTAACTTAATTATTATTTTTAATATCAAAATCACGTGACTAAAAACGCCAATTACGGTGCGTGACGTCACTTATCATTGTCACTAGTGTCTAATATAGTATTATATTATGATCTGTGCTAGTTTATTGTGTATACAGTGTAGTTTCGAAAACTCAATTCTCTGTAATCTTAAAGTTTTAATCGTTTAAGTAATATTTAAATTTACTTACGTTCCCGGCCAATGCCATGGCGAACAGTTCGATTTGACAACTCAAATTTACCACGTATCGACGTCATGATGGTGGCCGAATTTTTCGCTAAAAACTCTGATTTTATCTCGGCGGAATTCAGAAATGTAAAAACACACATTCCGCCACTGATGAGGCATAGGTATAAACAATTTCTCAGATCCAGTTCTTATTGGTATTATTTTCACATAAGGGCACTGAACAATACTGATAATACTTAATTGCACTCATTTTCGATATTCTTGTTTCGTTTTCAATTAATAATTCAATTGATCGAGCTCACAGATTATGGAATATAATCTAGCACTTACAGTGTACACACGCTCTGTATGATAAGGGACATCACGCTCGGCGATTGTTAAAAGAGTGGCGTTTTAGTGCCAAATTCAAAAATGAAAAATAATTTTCAATTTTTCAACATAAGAATACAGTAATTTCTGCAGGGAAACATTTTTAGTAGCATTTTATTTATGTAAACAATAGGCTGAGATACTTTTCATAAAACAGTCCAAGACCTTGTTGTATTGAGACTACTCTTATACATTTTATTACTTGACAGATACCTAATAAAAAAAACGTGTGTGTCATGTTTGTACTTAGGTATATACGCACGTAAGAAGATCTACTTCTTTGGCGTAACAGAAGAAAAGTAGCTAAAGATTTCATCCAGTATGTCACCACTCTCTGTTTGTAAAAGGAATGCAGCTAACTTCATCATGTTGCTTTTTGGCTGTCGGTGTGCGCGCGCATTGTAAAAATTTTACTCTCATAATTTTTTGCAAAGGTGCCAAAAGAAGTATAACTTCAAAAATAATAGTAAGTATAAAAACGTATACTTCGATGTAGTTGCAAAATCTATTCCAAAACTGAAATCATTCTATTGAAATATTATTATGTAGGTATCTATTTATTTTGTACCGTATATTATTTTTATAACATATTAACTTTAAATGTTTGGTACTATCTTAAATTTCATGCTAGCTTTACGATAAGCAGGGATGCAACGAGAAAGGCCATCAAATTCGACATAGATACGCTATGTGACACTTGACGGGCGAAGTGACCACGCCGTACCAGAGTATTACGAGGCAAGTAACTGTCGAGGCGCTCTATATTTTTTGTCGGAGCCTCAGGACGCGCTGGCCGTGCCCGCGCGTCGCGCCGTGTCACACGCGTCGCCGCACTGCGTCCGATTGAGCACCTACTTACTGACGGCTCAACTAGCCAGATTGACTTACAACTCACTGGAATCGTATTGAAAAATATTACATATTTGATCTAAAAAGATACTGTGCCGTTGCTATCATGAATGAATCATAAAAATGAAATTACTACCTACAATACAGGTTTTATATTAGCGTTAAATTGATCTCATGTAATTTATATGAAGGCCTAGTGTCACTTGTGGCTTCCTAGCAATCGAGAAAAACGCGACGGTATCAGTTACACATCGCGGGATGCTGCGCGTCGTCCGCGCCTCTACATCTCGCCGCACCTGCGCCCGCCTCGCGCGTCATTTATGATATTGTCACATTCCCGGAACTAATCTCATATCTGTTATATATCTGATATGACGACACGTTTGGCTCAGTTTGTAGTGACCCTACTTGCTGCGCCAGCGGTCGCGAGTTCGAGTCCCGCTGGGGGCATTCGTTTGTGTGATGAGCACGAATGGTTGTACTCTAGTCATGGGTGTTTATATTTATAATATGTATGTATTTAAAGTTATATATGTGTAGTGTATCAACTATCTAGTATCCATAACACAAGCCTCGTAGCTTACCATGGACTAGATGGCGCTGTGTGTTAATATCCTGACATATTTATTATTATTATTATATCTAATGATTGTATAAATCACTTGCAATTTATTATCATTATATACTTGACTACCATGCTCCCGGCTTTCAAAAGATATCAAACATTATTTAAATATCATTGAAATGTTCTTGAATTTATTCTCGTTTATTGATTCACACTTATTCTTTGTTGTTCTTTTATAACTAGTTATAAAAGAACAAACAAAAACGCTCGTTACCGAACTGTGCAGCAAGCTATCAGCATTTAGCACGTCGCTCCGCGGCCGCAGCGGTCCCGGCGGCCGCCGACGACCAACATGAGCAACTTCTCAATAAAGACATTTACGTTTTTTCCTGAACATACCGCAACAGCTCTGGAACTGGTATGCCCATCAGGTAGCTCTTGTAAACATTTATGAAGCTGATGTGACTTGAATACTTGCCCCTAACTATATTTGCTAAGATAGGTGCAAAAAGTCTATTCGTGAATCGGAAATGTAAAAAAACGTGTTATTGCTCTACTCGCTTTTTGTGTAAGTAACCGCAGGTGACTTATGAAATGGAAATTTAATTTACGATTTGATTCAATAATATACAAACAACACAACAACTAAACCGCAACTGTTCGAATTAGCAATGCGGTCGATCCGCCACCAACCGGCGGCGGCGGTGGGAATCGTTCCTACTAAGAGGCTGGCTAACATGTGATACTCAGTAGCCACATCCTGATGAGAAATTGTGCTTAGGTATATCATTGTTCAAATTGGTTTGTGATTTCGATGAACCGTATTAAATACACTATAAGGTAGCGCTTAAAGTACAAAAGAGAGTGTAGCTACACTCGACGTCTCGTGAAACACAGAAAATTTAGCTCTGAAAAGAGTAAAGCTTTTTTGAACTTGAAGTTACAGATAAAATGTTTTTATTTCCTTTCGATTCGGTATACATATTATATAATATTTTTACATTGTGATCATCAATTGCCTTGCAATAATATACCTTTGCAATAAAATATGTATGTTACAGCATCGTAGAATTTATACTTGTTTGTTTTAACTCTCCATCCGCGCGAAGACATTATCGATAACGAGCCTAGTTAGTATCTCGTGCATGGGAACTCATGACGAACGGAGAAAAATTAGTTCAAATAAATGTTAATAGATGAAGACACTACATGTATTGATTTGTTCTTATAGTTGTGTTAAATTAAGAAAAGATAAAAATAGATTTCAAAAAGATGTACTTACTCGTATTATTATTATAAAAAATATTCCAAGTAATGCGAAACGAAATCATGCGCCTGTAAATCAAATTTGCGTAATTTTACTGGTTATTGAAATATCAGAAATCAAAGGGTTTTTAGAATGTAGAGTATATTCACTTATAAGCGACTTCTAAAAATTTTGATCGCGGTTAACAATTGTTAAAAGCACGGATATTTTTTTTATTCGATAGCAGGAAGAATTTTACAATATTTACCACACGTTAGGTTACACATATTTATAAAATAAAACAGTTTCACTATCTGCGAATCAACGACTTCTACTATTCAAACAAACAAAAATAGCCCGAAGAAGTGCTGTCCAATTTTTGTATGGGATGAGGGCCCGAGGCATCTGTACTAGAATAGTATTGTGATCTCGTGCATGGCAGCAAGCGCGCGGTAACACACACACAATGCCGCGTTCCCGCGCTACCGACCTTCGCTCTCCCTGATGTGAGAAAATCAACGACCTTGCGATTTTTGCTAAGTGACAGTTTCGTTCGAACGACTTTCGTATTTTTATGAATGAACGAAAATTCTCACAATTAGCGTCTTATGTTTAATTCAATAAACAATTACATCTGAATGTCACGAGAAAGAGAAAAGCAGTTTGGTATATCTATACATATAATAAAATTGTAACTAAGGCGAATGTGAACATTAAATATTTTTTTGGAAAATCTTATTGAATTAAACATTTATTATCAATACAGAAGCCGAATCTATAGTTTTTAAAATTTTTGTCTGTCTGTCTGTCTGTTACCGCATCACAGAGAAACCACTGGAGGGATTTTGATGAAATTTGGTATGGTGATAGCTGGTTATCCGGATCAACATATAGGATACTTTTTACCGCGGAAAAATGTCTCATTTCTGAGAAAAAATACAAAAACTGCAATGTAAGAGCATACTAATATGTAAAACCTAAGAATTTGATTTTTGGTCATCTGAACGCGGGCGTTGCCGCGGGCAATGCTAGTAATAAATATATTTATATTATATAGGCTATTACAATGGACAATTTTTTTTGAGAATAGGTACCTATGTGCAGCGTGTATTGTACTTTATGCAGCGCGGCTATTCGAAGTTGAAGAGTAATGGAGCCTTTTTTTAAAATTACTAAAGTATAATATATAGGTAGCTGTATCTCGTCAAAAATTATTAGGACAATGTTTGAAATTTAATAGTCTCAACTCTCAAACGCTTACTGTCTCTAGGCACGAGCGCGGCGCTTCAACGTGACTAACTCTACAGACTAATAAAATAATAAAGTAACTATTGCCTGGGAGAAATGCTTAGTTACTTAGACATGATAGAGTAATAAAACGGAATTAGATTATGGCACCGCCGTTCTAGGTTCAATATTCATTGCTGGCGAGTAAATAATAGACAACAATCTGTGGACTAACGTAATTGTGCAATGAAAAGTGAATTACAGGAAACTCAAAGAAGCAAATAGCAATTAGAATGAACTAAGAGTAGATGAGAGCGCGGACAGATCGCTGCCGGTCTGGAGCAATAGATTTAATTGCACCGATACTAACGCCGCGTGTAAATTCCTGCGGTGGCCAAGTCCATCTGATCAGCGCGCGGACCACACGCGCACGCCATATCTTCGACAGCCACAGCACATAGTCATGAGCACAATAGAACGACTTATGACAATTTTTATATATATCTAGTGCTCTTATTTTGGCGTTCCACATTTTGAGATAACCCATGCTTCATAGTTTTATGGTCTACATAACGCTTCAAATTTTTAAATGCTTTGCTACGATATATCATTTGTGCTAAATAATTTAGTAATAATTGTTATACTTATTTTATAGTAAACGATCAATTAAAATTATAATCGAATACTACGCATATAAATTAAAATATCGGATGCGTAAGCTATAACCAGCGACGCGAGTTCAATTTTGAAATACCTCTGAAAAAATTTTTTTGATTGTGAAGATTCACAAGAACGTAAGTGAACACGTAAGCGGCTCTCGTGCGACGCGCGCCGTGCGCTGTAGTCGCTGGCGACTCGCGGACTAGCGCCTAGCTCTACATTCTACATACACGTTTACACCACTTATTACACCGGTGTTAGGTTACTCTAAGCGGGGTGAAGAAGAATACAATTAATGAGCAATTCTGTCGTTTGGTATTTGTAAAACCATAGTTCTTTTTATTTCTAACATATACAATGAGGTAATTAATATGTAATCATATCACGCTGTGATGAAAATGTCCCATGACGTAGGAACCGATATGATACCTAATACATTTTAGCTCTATTAAATTTAAAATTTATCGTCGCAAGTCTTCGATAAATGATTATTTTTTTGATATTAAAAAAAGTTGACTATAAGAAACTTAATCTTAAAGAAAAGATATCCCGTGTCTAAGTGGACTATTTTAAGGATGTAAACTTTTTTAAGTAATATTTTTTTTTTGACTTCAGAACCCTAACTACGTGTGTGAAATCGATTTCCTTTATTAGAACGAAGTTTTTTAACGCATGTTACCTACTACACTTAATGAATGACAGCTAGACGAAAAAAAGTGTAATATTTCGACCGCGCCGTAGGTAGAGTTAAAATTTTCAGACTATACATTTCTATTGCCGCTATAACAACATATAATAAAAATACAAGAAACATTTTTTTAACGTTCATAATCGATCATCGAAGTTTATATACTATATACCTACGTCCTACATTGAATAAAAGTCATAATAATAAAAATAAAGAAATTTTGTCCGAGTCTGGGAACGCAACACGAGAAAACCGCTGGAAAGATTTTGATGAAATTTGGTATGATGATAACTAGTTATCCGGGTTAACATATAGGACACTTTTTACTGCGGGAAAATATCTCATCTCTGAGAAATCTATACTAAACATTAAAACGTAACTAGGGATGGACCCGAGCGCAGCGCGGGTGAGTCGCCAGTAATAAATAAAAAAAGGTAAATGTACTTTAATTTAAGGCGTCATCGATTCACAATGTTATGGCCTTTAGAGTCCTCGATAATGTAGATTTTTATAAGAGCTATTTTATTTATTTTCCAAGAAAAATATATATTTTGTTCACTCCAAAAATAAATGAATATTTTGAAGGAGCTAGACAATTTCACTGGTAAAATTTTACAAACGTTATTTAATCAATATACTTAAAATAAAATAAAGCGAACTTTGTACATGAAATATATTCTTTAAAACAATGACTTTTACGTATTATGTACAACCTATTCGATATTTATCGTCTATAATATAAACAATTTTAATGTCTTTAATACATATTAATTAATTTATTTATTAATTACTAGCATTGCCTGCGGCTCCGCCCGCGTTCATATGACCAAAACCAAATTCTTAGGTTTTATATTATATTAGTATTAGTATAGCGGATAACCCGCTATACCATACCAAATTTTTTCAAAATCCTTCCAGTGATTTTTCTTTGATTTTATGAGACAAAAATTCTTAAAACTTGGCCTCTGTTAGCGATAATAATGTGTATTTCAATAAAATGTTCCAAAAAATATTTAAAGCAAATATATACGATACTGCTTCATTAAATTTCAATGTTAAACTAATTTATAACGCAAAGAAGATTGTTTTTTGATAATTTAAACAAGGGCGGGGCCGCGGGTAATTTAGTAGTAATTCTAATAAAATCATAGAAAGGTCGAATTAGTACATTCAATTTTTTGGAATTAAAACTACGTATTTTAAACACACATGGCGACATCTATAGACAAATATCTAAATAATACAAAAATAAATATTAATTAAAATATTTTTTTAATGAATAAAATAGTGCTATTGATATACTTTATCAAGATTAGCTATTTTTAATAGTTTTTGACATATTTAGTAAGTTAACTTGCTAAAATCTATATAGTATCATCGTTGTTTTGTTCTAACCAGTTTTTGTATTTTTTCTCAGAAATGAGATATTTTTCTGCGGTAAAAAGTATCCTATATGTTGACCCGGATAATCAGCTATGACCATACCAAATTTCATCAAAATCGGTCCAGTAGTTTTTCTGTGATGCGGTAACATACAGACAGACAGACAGCCAAAAATTCTAAAAACTATAGATTTGGCTTCTGTATCGATAATAATGTCTATTTCAATAAGATTTTCTAAAAAATATTTAATGTACAGATTTGACTTAGTTAGAATGTTATATGTATAGACTAGCGGACCCGACAGACGTTGTCCTGTCTACACGTCTTTAATTTGAAAATTTCAAACTTTTTTTAATAATTTTTTTGATGAAAATTATTATTCAAATTGTGAATCTAAACCATTCCCAGATCCCCTTGAACACACACAAAAAATTTCATCAAAATCGGTCCAGTCGTTTGAGAGAAGTTCAGTGACATACACACTCACAGAAGAATTATATATATAAAGATTTATTCCATTTTGCCCTAAAGCTTATGATCGCTTACTGTTAGTATGTATTGTATTGTTAGGGGATACGGGTTTCGTTGTGTAAAATAATTCCTTCGACATAAAGTATGACGTCGTACGACTTGTTCATTATTTTTACTGGATGTGTAATTCTATAAGATTTGTAGTAATCGAAATATTTAGAGAGGTTCCATCTGGGATAACCTTATATTAAGAAGTATAAATAAAAAGAAAAATGAAACAAAGTTGTGAAAAATAATCTATTTTTAATCACAGAGCACTTGCGCTGGTTCTGTTATAAATAAATTAGCTCAACAACCACACACAGGAACTAACTACTTACACCTACTTACGTACTACCGCACCCGCGCCTGCACCCCGACCGCCCCCGCTCGTCTTTATCAAATCATTTTAAATGTACGTCAAGCGAAATAAACTACACAAGTTAATAATAGCTTCTAGCTATATTATATAAGTTTTGTATATTTAATACTTTCTTTATCTGATCGTTCAAAAAAAATAACGAATCTGAATTACAAAGGCAAGACATTTACTTCAATAGAAGATACGTCTTTACGTAATGTTCATTCAATAAAATGTTTTGACTCATTTCTTTAGTCAGAGTACCGAGAGGGGGGGCGCGCGCGCGGTCGCAGGCCGCGGGCGCTACGGAATGTATTATATCACAAGCGGCGAGCTAAGCTCTACTGTGTCATAATTAATCCTATAATTACAAATTCTTCTATATATACCCCACGGAGATAAATAGAGAGCATTGCACTTAAACATTTATAAATATATAAAACTGTCAATGTGTCATGTGTCGCGTGTCTGCGGCGGCTAGTGGGCGGCGGCGATCAGTTCGGAGAGGTGGTCGGCGATGGCGGCGGCGGCGGCGCCGGCCAGGATGGAGCGGTGGTTGCCGGGCAGGCGCGTGGTGCGCAGCGGGCCCGCGCACACCGCGCCCAGCCCGTAGTCCTCAGCCAGCGCCACGTAGTTGTCGCTGGCGCTGAACAGCGTGACGGGCGCGCGCAAGCGCGCCGCGGGCCGGTACGCGTCGCCCACCACCAGCTTGCGGTAGAAGGATGCGGCGGCGGCGGCCAGCGCGGTGGGCGCGTGCGGCGACGCGCCCGCCACCAGCGCCGTGGTGCGCGCCACGCGCTCCTCCCAGCTGCCTAGCCGCTCCAGCTCCGCCGACACCTTGGCCGCGTCCACGTCCTTGAACAGCTGCACAAAGTACGCGAGTGCGTCCGCCTCGTCCGTCCGCGCCGAGCGCGCGGCGCGCTTCTGCTTGCCGCGCGTCGTGTGCGTTGCCACGTACTCAGGCGAGCCGTCCACCAGCACCAGCCGCGTCTCGCAGCCGGCCTGCTCGAGCTGCAGCGCCATCTCGAAGGCGACGCCAGCGCCGAAGGAGTACCCGAGCAGCGTGTAGGGTGGGCGCGGCTGCAGCGCGCGCATGTGCGTCACGTAGAAGCGCGCCAGCGCCGCCATGTCGCTGAGCGGCGCCGCGGCCGTGCACTGCAGGCCGTACACGGGCGCGCGCACTCCGGCCGCCAGCCCGCGCAGCAGGTCCACCACGCCCTCGATGGGGTGCACCATGAACACGGGCGGCACGTCCTCGGCCGGCGCCGCGCTCGGCAGCTTCACCACCACCTGCTTGGGCATGAGCTCCCCGAGCGCGGCGAACTGCACCACCTCGTCGGCCTTGGCCTCGGGCGCGCCCGCACCGGCCGCCGCCTCCGCCGCGCCCTCGCCCTCGCCGCCCAGCGCGCGCAATTTCGCGAAGGTCAGTCCACGTATTTCTTGAACTCCCAAAACAACATCGTAGCCGCGCTCCAGAGTCTGCTTGATTTCAGCTCCCATGAGCGAGTCCATGCCCAGCTCGGCTAAGTTCGCCGAATCCGATACTTTGCTGGGATCCTTGATACCTACAGAAAGTTAATGATAGTGATTAAATTTTCAAAACAAACTGTTGAATAAATAACTATATGTGTCAAATAATTTAATCCTATAAAGAAAGTGTATTATGTACGTAGTCGCGTACCGAGGATGTTGGCGACGGCGTGCACGAGGTCCTGCTGCGGCGCAGCGGCGGACTTGCGCTTGTCGGCCAGCACCATGGAGGCGGCCACGGCGTGCGGCCTCGCCAGCAGCGCGCCCAGCGCCTCCATGCAGGACGCGATGCGCTGCGGCACCGTGCCGCCCACCACGGCCTCGTCGCCGCCCATGGTCTCCACGATCAGCCCCACCTCGCCGATGGCGCCCCACTGCACGGCCAGCCCCGGCAGCCCGTCGGCCTGGCGCTGCTCCACTATGCGCTCCATGGCGGAGTTGGCGAGTCCGTAGTTGCTCTGGCCGGGGTTGCCGCGGCCGCAGGACACGGAGGAGAACACCACGAAGTAGTCGAGGTCGGGCGCGAGGTCGCGCGAGGCGGTGTCCAGCGCCTGGGTGGCGTCCACCTTGGGGCGCGCCACGGCGCGGAAGTCGTCGGGCGTGAGGTTCTCGAGGAAGGCGTCGCGCAGCACTGCGGCCAGGTTGAACACACCGCCCACGGGCGCCAGCGCCGCCGCCTCGCTCAGCAGCGCTCGCGCGCCCGCCGCCGTGCTCGCGTCCGCCGTCGACACCGCCACCTTTACGCCCTTCTCGCGCCATCTACATCGACACACGTGTTGAACTTCAAGTTGATTATGTGATGTTAAGGCGAAAATCTTTATTCCGTTAAGCATTGAATCTATTTATAAATGTGAAAGTTTCTGAGTATGTATAGATGTTTGTTACTCTTTCACGCCAGAATGGCTAAACGAATCTAGATGAAATTTGGCAAATAGATAGTTTATAGTCTAGAATAACACATAGGATACTTTTTATCCCGGAAATATGTACGGTTCCTGTGAGATAGGTTTGTTCTCGTTTTCCTAAAGGTGAACCCGAGCGAAGCGAAGTCGAGCCGTTAGTATAAAGTATAAACGAAGGCACCCACCTGCGGATGCACCAGGACTGGTAGCCGGTGCGCACGCCGCTGCGCGAGTTGAACACCAGGCACGTGGCACCGCGCACCACCAGCCACTGGCCCAGCTCGAGACCGAACCCGCCCAGACCACCTGCATAGTATAATAAAATATAATTTTAAAACGCAAATTACTTTGTTAATAAACGTTTGTAATTGTATAAATTATAATATTATAGAAAATCGAATACAGTAAAAGCTCCTTCGCGGTTCCGTTATTGGCGGAAGAAAAATTTGAGACCCACTTCCTGTATTCGCCGCCGAAAATTTTAAAAAAAGAGGAATGTCAAAAAACATATTAGTCTGCGTACTATATTTACCACCGCCTGTAGTGCCTAATACTTTAAATTTAATATTAGATAACATAAGTTCCAATTTTCAATCATACCAAGGTGAAGTGTTAATTTTGGGTGATTTCAACCTAGGCTTTATAGACTGGTCTTGTGATATTAATAACTGTAATTCAGTCACTCCTCGTAATTATGGTAACTTACTAGGGTACGCATTAATTGATTTTATTCACTCCACAATCTCACTCAATACAACTGCATACGTAATGACATTGGACGCGTCTTAGACCTGGTGCTAGCAAACTTTGACAATATTAAAGTATCTAAATCCCTTGACGTGCTTAGTAAGCTCGACTCTCATCATCCACCTCTAGACGTTGAAATTTTACAACAATTCAATAGTTGCCTAAATTCTAAACCGTTCGCTACACATGCCTTTAAAAAAGCAGATTACAATAAAGTGAACTCCGAGCTGAGACGCATCGATTGGGTTTTCGATTTCCGTGGCAATAATGATGTTAATGTCATGGTCAAAACATTTTATCGTATAATTAACAAAGTTATCGACACCACAATTCCTAAACTTAGGCCAAAGACTAAGGAGGCATCCTGTTTGGTTTATACATAGCCTAATAAAATTGATAAGAGAGAAAGAAAACATTAGACGACGACTAAAAACGTATAATAATCCTAGAGACAAGTTGGAACTCTCACTTGCCAAATCAAGAACTGAGTCCTTAATGAATGCTTGTTTTAGTGAATATATTTCTGATACCGAAAAATCCATTGCACGAAATCCTAAAAAACTTTGGTCGTATGTGAAAAAGCGCAAAGAGTCTACCTCTGACATTCCATCGGATATGTTTTTAGGTAACATTGCAGCCAATTCCGGTAAAGATATATGTAACCTATTTCCACAACAGTTCTCTTCGCTTTTTGATGCCACACCACCTAGTCAGTCAGCGACTACTTCGGATGCCTTTCCACAAAAGTCTGTCTCTAATATTCACATATCGGAACGTGAAATTGACAAAACACTCAAGTCTTTAGATCCCTGTAAAGGCGTTGGACCTGACGGCATACCTCCACTTTTTATAAAAAAAGACCCACAAATATATTACTTTGCCCCTAAAGTTTGAATTTGACAAATCCCTGACAACTTCGACATTCCCCGAGATATGGAAGTGCGCCAATATTCTTCCCATATTTAAAAAAGGAAACAAAAATAACATTCAAAACTACCGTCCCATAGGTACTTTGAATATATTTTCTAAGGTTTTTGAAAGTTTAATATGTTCAGTTATTTCTAATTACTCCAAAAATATCATTCCTGCTGACCAACATGGATTTTGCCGAAAAAAATCGACGGTATCAAATCTTGTCAGCTATATCTCTTTCCTAACCAAATACGTGGACAAACAACAACAAGTCGACAGCATTTACACTGATTTTAGCAGTGCCTTTGACAAAGTCGATCATAATATCCAAATTTTAAAGCTAGGGGGGTACGGGATTCATGACCCATTACTGTCGTGGTTTAGAGCATATCTCAGCAATAGTGTTGAGAGTAACAGGTAAAGGCTTACACGTCAGATACGTTTATCGCAACATCTGGTGTTCCCCAAAGATCTCACCGGGGCCCTATTTTATTTACATTATTTATAAATGACATAACAAATCATATACGTTACAGTAATTGCTCCATTTTTGCAGGTGATCTCAAAATTTATCTTGATATTAAAAAACCTGAAGAAAGCCATCTATTACAAAAAGATCTTTGTTCAATCCAAAAATGGTGTACTGAAAATAGAATGACCCTTCATGCTTCATGCAATGTGCTCACATAAAATTCACTCGGAACAGGAGGAAGATTGACACAGCTTATTATATCCATGGTCAACAACTGCAAGAGGTCTCAGTTGTAAAGGATCTCGGTGTTATGATTGACTCAAAACTTACTTTCTTAGAGCATCAAAATCAAATAATTTCCAGGGCCTGGAGAATGCTTGGTTTCGTTAAGCGTAACACTCTTAAATTTAAAGGGACTGATTGCATTATTACAATATTTAATGCACTGTCAAGAAGTATCTTGGAATATGCTTCACCGGCATGGAACCCCCATTATAAGAGTCATATCGCTAGAATAGAGAGTGTCCAGCCAAAACCACTCTTGTCCCTATAGAGCCGACTACGCGACACGGTTGGAACATTTTAGAATACGAACTCTGGAAAAACGGAGGCTCACGAGTGATCTAGTTACTCTGCACAAAATAATCCACAATGTTTTGGATACTCCCGAAATTCTTTGTCAAATAAATGTTAATGTCCCGCACTGCCTAGATTTCCTATAAAAAATATATTCTCACCTAGCACTTCCAGGACCAACCTTGGCAAATATTCCCCAATAAACCGTTTAATTAATGCATACAATAGTTTACTAAATACCGACAATGGCATTGAAATTGATATTTTTAACGACACTTGAAATAACTTCAAAAAAAAAATATTTGTATGACTGAACTAATATAATTATATAATTTTATAAGTATAGTTGTTTCAAATTATAAATACTAATAATTATTTTATTGTACATATTATTCTAATTTTAACATGAATTTATATTATGATTATTTAATTATAGTAGTTAATATGTTTAATTCTTTAATTTAATTTAATCTATTATAAATATTTATTAGATATGTGTATTATTGTTTTTTTAAAGCCGGAAATGTAATTAATGATGTGTATGCCTATAATTAATGCTTGTACTAGAATAAGTAATCTTATAATATAATAATTTAGAATGTAGGTACAATGTATTGTTGGCATATCTTGCAAAAATAAATAAATAAAATAAATTAAAAAAAAGCCTTGTTTTTCAAAGAAAAAAGGATGAAGACTCAGCTGTATATTGATATCAAGCGGAATAAAAAGACCTTTTTAAAGGCGGCGAACCAAAAAAAATACTAAATATTTCAAACCAAATTAGTTCAAACAATAATTTTTAATGTTAACATCTTCTGATAACACTGTAATGAACTGTTATTTGTTATAAAACAGTTTTTTTATTTTTATTTTTTTTATTCAATCATTTATTTCAGGCAATATTTACAAAAAAGATCTTAAATATGTAAACAGAGGCCCATAGCATAATATATACCTTTAAACTAACATATATATTAATTATTACACACACACATATATATATATATATATATATATATATATATATATATATATATATATATATATATATATATATATATATATAGTATACATACATATATATTTATTATCTTGGAACGTATCCTCCGCGAATAAGGAGCTTTTACTGTATAGAGTATGTAAGCATACACTGTTCGAGTTGTTTAGTTAAGTTAATTCAACAATAGATGGCGTTAGTAGTATTCTACATCGCGCAAGCATTACGTTCTGATGCATATAATACTAAGGTCCCTAGGTCAGGGTTGTCAGTTCTGTAGGTCCATTCTTGAGGTTGTCGAAGTTTTGTTGAGTTTTCGTTGTCGTAAAGGTCGTCGTTTATTTGAAGTCCAAAAAATAAAAAAGGTTGAATTGTTCAAGTTCAATACAAGTTCAACAAATTTGTTCCTTCGAGCCGGATACCTCAAGAAAAAAGTCTACTGGTGCGAGTAAAGTTTAATCACATAAGAAAATGAGTGCTCGAGTCAAGGAAGTAATATTAGTTACACATGGGTGTGTCTCCTGTGTCTCCTTTCCGCAGTCATCGTTGTTCTCTGGCAAAAAGTCCACTGGTGCGAGAGCGAGGTTTAAAATCGCACCAGAAACTAAGTGCTGGAGTCAAGGAGTTAATAATAATAGCGACACACGAGCGTGTATGTTTTAATCGTTCTTATCGTCCTCGTAAAAAGTCCAAAAGAGGTCATTCAAGAACCCATATTGGAAGCTATATCTAAGTAGATTGTCAAAGTCCTATTGTGAAATTAAAATACAAACGCTTGATCAGTACTAGGGTTCATTTAGCAATGGCCATTTAGATATTTTAAAATCAGCTAACAAGGAGCAAAAGAAAAAAGATGAATATTTTATCGAAGATTTATTTTCAAAATGTGAAGATGAATATACATTCGCGAAATGTGAAATTTTGGATATTTTGCAGTCTTTTAAAACTAAAGAGAATGAAACTCAATATGTAACAGCAATACCTGAAGAAGTCAAGTTACCTAAAATTAAAATACCATTATTTAACGGCAGTTATAATGACTGGACAGCGTTCCATGATCTTTATATGTCTCTTATCCATACCAATAGTCCCACTAAATCTCACCAAACGAGAGGAAAAGTCTAAATTGAAAGAAAAGCAGCTCACGTAATTAATGGATGCCTCCTAAACTTTAAATATGAAACCATCTAATTTCTAGTCTAGACATTTAAATCACTACCCCATAAGACGAAGATGTGGAAAGAGAATCAGAGTTAGAGAGAGAGAGAGGTATAACGACTTACCGACTAGCACGTAGGACTTGGCGGGGTGCAGGTAGGTGCGCGGGATGGCGGACACCAGCTTGGCGGCGGGGCGCGCGCCACCCACCTCCTCCTCGCGCACACGCAGCAACACCTTGCCGATGTGCTTGCCCGTCGCCATGAATCTGTGCAAAGGACTCATCAGTTATACACTAGTTTTTATATAAGATTTATTTTAGATTTTTAACGCAATTGTGTGATATACTAATAACTTACACTGTCCACATTACAAAATGTGTCAGATTTTTTATATAAATAAAACAGTCATCATGGTTTTACAAATATTTTTCCTTAAAGAAGTGCGAAATACCTGAAGGCCTGCTCGAGCTGCTGGTCGGTGTAGACGGTGGCGGGCAGCGGGCGCACGGCGCCGCTGGCGATGCCGTCGGTGACGCAGCGTACCACGGCCGCCTTCTCCTCGTTGTCGCCGCCCGCGTCGAACAGCGCATCCAGCAGGATGCCGTGGAACGTGGTGTTCTTCAGGAAGATGGCCATGCCCAGCGCGGTGTTGTTGGAGAGGTCGAGCTTGCCGATCTCGAGGAAGCGGCCGCCGTTGGCCAGGCAGCGCACGGAGGCCAGCAGCTTGTCGCCGGCCAGCGAGTTGAGCACGAGGTCCACGCCGCGGCCGCGCGTGCGGCGCTGCACCAGCTGCTCGAAGGACACGTCGCGCGAGTTGCCGATGTTCTCGTCGGGCAGCGCGGGAAAGCGCGCGCGTAGGAAGGCGCGCTTGTCGGGCGTGCCCACGGTGGTGTACACGGTGCAGCCGGCGTGCAGCGCGATGGCGATGGCGGCCTGCCCCACGCCGCCCGTGCCCGCGTGCACCAGCACGCTCTCGCCGCGCCGCATGCGCCCGCGCACCGCCAGCGCGTAGTACGCCGTGGCGTACGCCACCGGCACAGTGGCCGCCTCCTCCAGGCTCCACGCCGCAGGCACCTCCCACAGGAAGCCCTTGTCGGCCATCACCGTGGTGGCGAGTCCCTTGGCCGCCACCATACCCATCACGCGTTTACCGTCCTCGGACCGGCCGCTGAACTCCAAGCCCAAAATACATTCCTAGAATACAAAGTATATGATGATTTATTTGTTTATTTATTCAGGTAAAACAATCGTATACAAAAAATCTAAAACAGTAAGAATACAATTAGACCTATATTACCCTAAATTATTACAAATGAACTGATTTGTCATCAAAAGTGACGGATGCTAAATAAGTATGTTTTACAAACATGATAATGTGCTATAGCCTATACCCACTGTTCATGTACATAATATCAAGAAATATTGCAGTAGTAGAGTCGTATTGTCGCACCTGTCCGGCGAGGTCTCCGGGCAGTGCGTCGGGCGGCAGCTTGCCGGTGGCCAGCATGATATCTCTGAAGTTGAGCGGCGCGTAGTACACTCGGCACAGCTCGGCGCGCGGCGGCACCGGCCGCGCCTGCGCGAACCGCAGCTCGCTCTCGATCCAGCGCAGCGACGACAGGTCGCCGCGCGTCAGCGTGTTCACGTACGCGTGCTCCACCTGCACACACCGCACGCGTCAGTCCCCGGAATAGTCGCAAGAGGCTGACCTCTACCGTTTGTCTGAACAAACGAGCAGCGATCAGTAAGACGACGTGGTTACCTGTAGCTGAGCGTCACCGGTGTCGGAGAGCGGAAGGTGCCTGTAGGAGCCCCACACGCCCGAGCGGAGCACGTTGACGGCGAGGTCCTTGGCCACCTGCGCCGCGTAGGCGGGCGCGTCGGGCGCGAAAGGCTCGCGCGCGCCCGGCAGGAAGAACACGCGCAGCGCGCGGCCGCCCGCCTCGCCGCGCAGGCACGTGCCCAGCCCCAGCACGCCGGCGCTGGCGGCGCGCGACCACGCGTACACGCGCAGCTGCTCGCTCTCAGCGCGCCGCAGCGCTTCGCGCAGCGCGTCCACCCACGCGTAGGCGCCGTCCTGCGTCACCTCCACCACGACGCGCGTGGGCGGCGGCGCGGCGCGGCGGCGCAACAGCACGTACTCGCAGCTGGCCGCCACCTGGCGCGACACGGGTTCCAGGCCGGCGGCGGCGGCGGCCTGGCGCGCGCCGCGCTCGTCCAGCGTGCCGTGCGGCTCCTCCAGCAGCAGCAGGCCAGCGTCGCCCAGCGCGGCCGCCAGGTGCGCCAGCACGGCCGCGCCGTGCCGCGACAGCACGTCCGCCGCCAGCACCAGGTGGCAGTCCGAGTCGGGCGCGCCGCTGCGGGCGTCCTTGGTTGTCACCTACGGTCAACGATACTTTTTTCAAAACTAATGAAAAGTATTAAAGATAGTTGACTAGTGTACTCCACATACTTGCAGCATAGCACTGCATCTCGTCATATGTATGTTTTGAATTGATGCTTATTTAAAATTATTAAAAAATATATGTACCTATTGTAACATGAGGTAATATGATTTGTAACGAGCATAATATATAAGTATAGATATTACATTAGATTATAAATCGAATATGTATTGATTCGACAGTCTCTCGCTTGGTCTCGCAAGTGCAATACGCACTTCAATAAACGCTTAATATTAAAGCCTTATTATTTTCTCCTCACGTCCGCCACATATTGGTGACCCGACTGAAAACAACACCTGACTGAAAGAACAAATATACGATGGCTACCAATTCTAAACCAGTTGTACAAGCGAAGGAAAATTTACGTGAAGATTCAGAACTGGCAACAATCAGCGTATCATCGCGAATACCGGAATTTTGGTGCGACCAGCCGCGATTATGGTTCGCCCAGTGTGAGGCGGTGCTAGCTTCTCAAAAATTAGGCGATGAAGCGAAGTTTAACTTGTTGCTTCCGAAATTGGGCAAGCAAGTCATCGAGCAGGTTAGCGATATTGTGCTTAATCCACCAGGAACACATAAATATGAGACCTTGAAAAATCGTTTGCTCGCTGTTTACGAAGAGTCGGAGAACCGACAGTTCCAGAAGTTGCTGGGGGAAATGGAACTTGGCGATCAGAAGCCTTCTCAGCTTCTTTAGGCGAATGCGGGATTTGGCTCGTTAATAAGATACCTGATGAAACGCTGTGTATCATGTGGCAAGGACATTTACCCACGTCAGTTCGAGCGGTGTTGGCAGTTAGCGAGGTAAAAGATCTAGATACCTTGCAGCTATCGCTGACAAAATTATGGAGACCACGAGACCTTTACATGCTGCTGAAGTAAATTGTCAAGCTGAAAATCGGATGATACGTCATTTCTTATGTCGCAAATAGCCAAGTTAAGTGTGAAGGTCATGGAACTTGAGAGATCGAGACCAAGGTATCGAAGTACTCGATGTAATTGGAGGCGACGTACTACATCACGTGGACGTTCAGTATCCGAACAACGACGCCGCAGGTCCGAATCATCGAAATGGCTATGTTTCTATCATCACCGTTTCGGCGTTAAAGCAAAGAAATGTGTTGAGCCATGTGCTTGGAAGGAGCAGCCGGAAAACTAGACAAGGTGCAGCCAAGGGTGGATGTCTGCACCATATCGCCGTTCCACCGTTTATGCGTAACCGGACTGCAAAAGTGGTTTACGTTTTCTTGTGGACACAGGTGCAAATATTTCAGTGTTACCGTACAAAAAACGACTCTATAACAATGTAGTAAGTGATAAATATAAACTTTATGCAGCTAATGGCAGTGAAATAAAGACATATGGTGTTAAATCGTTAGTGTTAAATTTAAATTACGCCGACCTTTTCGGTGGACTTTTGTGTTAGCGGACGTTAAACAGCCAATATTAGGCGCAGACTTTTTAACCTATCATAAGCTTATAGTAGATTTATATCGTCGTCGACTTATTGATCAAATAACAAATATAGATACTATAACATCGATAGTGCAAACACGATGAGTCATCTATAACTACGTTTGGATATAAATAATAAATATTACGACTTAATGTTAGAGTATCCCGATATAACGAAACCTATTTGTTTCAAAGATACACCAAGACACTCTGTTGTTCATTTATATTGAGACTACAGGACCTCCTGTATTTGCGCGACCAGACCTTTAGCTCCGGACAAATATCAGAAGGTAAAATCGGAATTTGAAATCATGCAAGGACGTAGGCATATGTAGACCATCGAAGAGCTGTTGGGCAAGTCCACTCCACGTAGTCCCGAAAAAGGATGGTGGTATTAGACCATGTGGTGATTACAGGCAATTAAATGCCATCACTAAGCCTGACAGGTATCCGATTCCACGCTTACAAGATTTTACATATTTACTGTCGGGTAAAAAGATATTTTCGAAGATCGATATAACACGTGCCTATCATTTCATTCCCATCAATAATGAAGACATAGAGAAGGACAGCCATCACTACGCCATTCGGTCTTTTTGAGTTCCCAAGGATGACGTTTGGGCTAAAAAAAATGCAGCTCAAACATTTCAGAGATTTTTAAATAAACGTCGTACTTCAAAATCTTAATTTTATTTTTGTATATATCGACGATGTAATAGTAGCGTCGAAATCTGAATCCGAACATAAGGAACACCTCAGACTAGTATTTGAGCGATTTAATAAATATGGCTTAACTATTAACACTTCAAAATGCAATTTTTGGGCAGAACGAAATCGAGTTTCTGGGATACCACGTTTCAAAAGATGGTATTAAACCCTTAGAACAACGAGTTAGCTCTATAATTAATTTTCCTAGGCCTAAAACAATCGAGGAACTCAGACGTTTTTTAGGTATGATTAATTTTTACAGAAGACATCTTCCTCAAGCAGCAGAGATTCAGTCAAAATTAAATATATTTTTACATAACTCTAGAAAAAAATGACAAGACAGAAGTAAGGTGGACAGACGAGTTCAATTGCGGCATTTGAACAGTGTAAGGAGAGCCTAATCAGCGCCGTTACACTATCACACCCAGCTGCAGACGCGAATATAGCCCCTTATGACGGATGCGTCTAAGACTTGCATTGGCGCAGTATTACAGCAACGTGAAGGCAACACATGGAAGCCTTTAGGATTTTTCTCCACTAAGCTGAGCGAAGCGCAAACGCGATATAGTGCTTTCGATAGAGAATTACTTGCTAATATATATGGCTATAAAGCATTTCAGATATTTGGATTGAGGGACGCCCCTTAACAGTCTACACAGATCAGAAACCACTCGTTTATGCTTTGAAAAAAAATTTCTTATACAGACAGCGATACACCGCGTCGATTAAGACATTTCGATTTTATAATGCAATTTTGTTCGAATATTGAACACATTAGTGGATCTCAAAATATTGTTGCTGATACGTTATCACGAATTTCTGAAATTAACATGCCATCATACATCGACTACAATGCTCTTAGCGAAGCTCAGGAAAAAGATAAAGAATTACAAGTTTTATTAAAATCTAAAAAATTTATGTTTTAAAAAGTTTCAAACTTCATAACAGTCAAGAATCAATTTACTGTGAAGTTTCAAAACAATTCGCACGACCATATTTGACTAAAGAATTCCGAGTGCAGGCTTTCAACGCCGTACATGGATTGAGTCATCCGAGTATAAGATCAACTAGAAAGATGATATGCGATAAATTCTTTTGGCATCTATGAACAAAGATGTTGCTAACTGGGCTCGAGCATGTATAGATTGTCAGAAATGTTAAAATACATAGGCATACAATATCACCTTTTGGTAAATTTCCCACAAGCAATCGTTTTGAACATATACATATTGATATTGTTGGTCCATTACCACTTTACAAAGGATACAGATATTTAATTACGATGTTAGACCGAGCCACGGGTTGGCCGGAAGCTTTTCCCTTAAGAGACATAACAGCTGAGGCTGTTGCAGAGAAAATATATTCAGGATGGATTTCACGTTTTGGTTGTCCTTTACGAATTACGACTGACCAAGGAAGACAGTTTGAGTCGAATCTTATCAATCAATTATCTAAGCGCCTTGGTATTATGAAAGCTCGAACAACTGCGTACCATCCACAGGCAAACGGTGCTGTCGAACGTTGGCATCGATCTCTTAAGGCATCGTTAATGACTAGAGGAAACAATAATTGGGTTCAGGAGTTACCAACTGTACTACTAGGCTTAAGAGCAAGCCTAAAAGATTGTACGCAAACCAGTGCAGCGGAGATGGTTTATGGCAGTCCAATTAAGCTACCCGGAGATTTTTTTGAGCCTACAACGCCACTAAATTCCGATAGCGAGACATTTTTAAAGCAACTGAGAGAACATATAAGTAATATTTGTTCAGTACCCAAGCGAGAGACTGTCGAATCAATACATATTCGATTTATAATCTAATGTAATATCTATACTTATATATTATGCTCGTTACAAATCATATTACCTCATGTTACAATAGGTACAATATTCCCCCCTTTTTAAAAAAAATAAGTAAATCAGAGCAAAGAAGAAAAGAAGGAAGAAGTTATAATCGCCCAAATGGGAGGAAATAATACTTCGCAAATTTCTGAGTTAAAAGTTGATATATATTTCGGCTTATTATTTTTAATAATCCTTATGGTAATCACGTTTGGAATATACAGATATTGCCGAAGGAAATTTAGAGAGACTATAAGGAAGGAAATGCAGAGCATGCCAGATTTAACTGCTGCAGTATAATGTTTTAAGTGCCAGTGTACGTCTTAGTTAAAAAGTGCAAGTGTATACTGATATGTTAAACACATAATTTCGAGTAGTGCAGTGAATAATTATGCTGAATAGGTAAAAAAATTCATGTTCGAAAAAATAATTTGTGATAGATGTAAGGAAACTGTAATAGCATGTAATTATGATATTTTTAGGTATTAATAATATTTTTTTTTTTTTTGCAAACTATATTTTATGTCTAGAATTTAATTTTATACATTTTACATTTTTTTTTGCGTTCAAATGTATTCATTAATCATTTTTATATATTCTTAATAACTTTTATATATTATTTTATACCTTTTTTTAAAAAGGGGGGAATATTGTACCTATTGTAACATGAGGTAATATGATTTGTAACGAGCATAATATATAAGTATAGATATTACATTAGATTATAAATCGAATATGTATTGATTCGACAGTCTCTCGCTTGGTCTCGCAAGTGCAATACGCACTTCAATAAACGCTTAATATTAAAGCCTTATTATTTTCTCCTCACGTCCGCCACAATATACTTGATGAAAAAAGGACTAAACTAGATTTTTAAACAAGTTAAATAAAGGTAAAATGAAGGTATTACGTCCTTAAACCGCTATTTTGCTGGTTATTGTTAAGTAAGCTATGAAATAATGACTTTTTACATACAAAAACATCATCCCTGTGTATTTTCGCATAAATAATGAAACATTAGAAAGCTTATTTGAAAAATATTTCAAACATGTCAGTACAGATTAATTTATAGAGAATGTGTTTCTCCAATTTTGTTAGGCCTTAAAAACAAATAAACGATATATTATCTATTGCGACATTGACCTTAATCCCATGAGGCTGCATGACGGCGCTGTAGGGTGCGGGGTTGGCGCCGGCCGCCAGCGTTGCGTCCACGCGCACCAGCGGCTCGCCCTCCAGCGCGGCCAGCGCCAGCGGCGCCAGCGCGGCCTCGGGCGCGCGCTCCAGCGCCGCCTCCACCAGCTTGAGCCGCAGCGCGCCCACGTTCTCCAACACCAGCTGCAGGCTCACGGCCAGCGCGTCCCGCTTGGAGCGCGACGTGTCCTCGGTGCCTACCGCCGCGTTGTCGTACGGCAGGAACACGTACTTCTCGAGCTTGGGTGCGGCCTGCGCGTGCGCGCGACGCGGCGCCAGGCTGGTCTTAACGCCGCGGAACTCCACGCCGCCGGCGCTGATGACGTCAACGTCGCGGCGCATGCGCACGGGCAGCGTGCCGCCCGCCGCCGCCGCCAACGCCGCCGCCTGCGCCGCCGGGTCGATGAGCGCGCGCTGCAGCCGCGTGGGCAGGTACAGCTCGCGCGTGTCCACGCCGATGATGCCGAACTGCAGCATGGTGTCCATGAACGAGATCCAGTTGTCATCCCAGGCGAGTGTGCCGGCGGTGCCGCGCGGGTCCGACGTGCGGATGCCGCGGAATATGCCCCCGTAGTTGTAGCCGCGTAAGCGTAATTCCTAGGATAAAATGGATCGAAGTATATCTTATACCTTTAAACGAGCAATTCTTGTATATGTATGTATGTATGTATGTATGTATGTGTGTATGTATGTGTGTATGTGTGTATGTGTATATATATATATATATATATATATATATATATATATATATAGCACCTGGGCTACCGAGCTTTGCTCGGAGTTTTCGGTCAAAAGTACAATGTTCTTTTAAAACAAAACTAAAAACTTGAATAAATTAAAAAAAAAATATACCTTTGTAACCGAACGGGATTCGAACCCGGACACCAATGATTGTGAACATGGTAAAATAAATTTTGTGAATCATTTCCAAAGGTTGGAAACCTGTTACGCATGCACTATCATTTAAATATAAAGATGGCCCATTAATAGATTATGCTATAAAGAAAGAAAAACTATTACTTGATATGAGAAGTTCAATTGATATGGGTACTCTGGTGGATCTTATTGCGGTTGGTTTACCAGAATTTATACTTGACAAAATTGATAGAGAAATATTGAAAGACCCAGTAGATTTATTTATTGAGGTAAGAAAGTATGAACACAAGTTAAATAGAAAAGTTTTTACAGCGAAGAGGAAAATGGATTTCAAAAAACTTATAAAAAAAGTGAAAATCTAAACGCGTGTAGAATTTGTGAAAATTTAAATAAGGGTACTCGTTTTCATTCTGAAACTGCATGCTGGTTTAAAATAAAAGAGGACACGGGTAACAATAAGGTAAAAAAAGAATTCATCAAACATGTAAACAATTCAGTAATAGAAGCTGAATTAAATGAAACAGATTAAAAAACTAATAGTTACGCCATTAATCAATGTCAAACTTCTATTGAATGATACATTAGAAATAAATAGAATTTATGATTCTGGTTCAAACGTTACTTTGATAAATTCTAAGTTCATCAAAATAAAAGGACAAGGGAACAGTTTGAAAAAAGCAGATTTAGTTACGATTAATGGTGTTAAAAAGGCAATTGGTTTGACAAACTTGAAAATAAAAATCTTTGAAATGGAAAAAAATGTTGATGTATTTATTATTGATGAACAAGATTTTAAATATGATTTTTTTTTATTGGCTTTGACATGATAAAGACGTTTAAACTAATCCAAAATGAAGATTAAAAAATATCTCAAAAAGAAGACTTAAAAACGAATATAATGAATGAAATTGTTACAAATACGGATATAAAAAATACAGAAAGTAAAAATATTTTCATGAAATTTAGCATACAGGGGGTTTCGGGGGCGATAAATCGATCTAGATTAGTTTTATGTCGAGAAAACGCGTGTTTTCGAGTTTTAATGCGGTTTTCTTTCGCATTATTCCACACAAAATATGGTCGCTAATTCGCACGCTAGGACATAAGCATCGTGATCAAGCGGCCAAGGCGCAAATTTGACAATCACAGGTATCTGGGTTTGTATCCCAGTCGGATACAAAGTTTTTACTTTTTTTTTTAATATTTATTTAAGTTTTTAGTTTAAAAAAAGAATCATACTTCAGGCCAAGAACTCCGAGCGAAGCTCGGTGGCCCAGGTACTTTCATGTTAAGCTTCTATCCAACGCTAAGTTATTTATAAAGTGAATTATGTTTATTGTCAATTTAACTTTATGATTTTACATATAAGTGACTTGAAATGTATAATTATAAATATATAATGAGATGTCAGGAAAGGTACCTTGTAGATGTCGTCGGTCGTCAGCGGCAGCAGGTCGGGGTCGGCGGCGGCGGGCGCGGCGTCGGGCGGCAGGCGCTCGGCCGCGGGGTCAGCGGCCAGCCGCACGGAGCCCGTCACGGCCACGGCGCCGCCCTCGCACACCTCGAACTCGCCCGCGCCTTCCAGCACGTTGATGAGGAAGCGCACCGGCGCGTCGCGCGACATGATGGTGGCGCGCCTGAACTGCACGTTCTCTAGTATCACCGGGGTCTCTTCCGGTTTTTTGTTGTGTAGTTTCGCCATCGTCTTCCAGACGAGCGTCTACGGAGCGAAGCGTTACTTTAGACGCGTCAATCGATGAATATGGTATTCATAGGCATAGCTATCGAATCAAATATTCATAATAAAATTATCCATCGCATAAAGCCGTCAAAAACTCACAAGGTATCCGGTGGCGGGGAAGAGTATCCTGCCGTCGATGTTGTGCCCCGCGATGAAGGAGTCGTCGTTCTTGGAGAGGTCGTACTCGACGACGTTCTCGCCGGAGCGCGCGGCGCCGTAGTGCGCCACGCTCCACTCGACGGAGTGGTCCCAGCGCACGCGCGCCGCCAGCGCCGGCGTGCCGCGCGACACGGGCCAGCGTGGCGCGGCGTACAGCGCGGCGGCGCGGGGCTGCGCGCCGGCCGCGTACAGGCGGCCCAGCGCCGCCAGCAGGTGCGCGCCGGCGTCGCGCGCGTCGCGCCGCACCAGGGGCACGTGCGCCGCGCCCGGCCGCGCGCGCTTCAGCACGGCCTGCAGCAGCGCGTGCGGCGCCACCTCCACCAGCACGGCGCGCTCGGGGATCTCGCGCACGGCGTCCGCAAACCGCACCGGCGACAACAGGTTGTTCACGTGGTACGCCGCGTCGCTCATTTTAGCTGCGACATACGAGTATACCTTATCAACTTCCTATCGTATATTATTCAATATTACTCTTTGTAAATAGATGACTGATGATAGTAATTTTTATATACTACTAGCTTACGCTAGCGTTACAAAATTATTTGATACCCGGCGGCGAGTTACAGCATTGAATTGCATAATTTAAACTTTTCTCCCTTATTTTATAAACTTATGTGTCGAAATAAAAAAAGCTAAGACTTACGGTTTTGCAAAAGCGAGTATTTGCATTTCAATTTTTAAAGGATAACTATCATTATTGATACCATAAAGGAGACATAATTACCGAGGTCGGACTCCCACTGGTCCTTGGGCAGCGATGAGGAGACCCAGCGCTGGGAGCGCGGCTTGGGGTTGGGAATGACGCGCTCGAGCGAGCGGCGCAGCAGCGGCGCGGCGGCCGCGATGTACTTGCTGTGGAAGGCCACGCCCGAACTGTTCACGCGGCGCGCAAACACGCCCTCCGCCGCCAGCGTCGCCACGAACTTCTCGATGGACTCCACCGGACCCGATATCTGCGACCGCACACGCACAGACACACGATCAATTGGTTGGTTAAACTATTCAATGAATTCATTTCAATGGTTCATTTAGGTCATATAGAGGTCCCCCCCAACGTGCGTTCACCTTGTCGTAGTGGGGGGGCTCAGTAATAGTAGCGAAGCTAAGAAACGCACAGCTACTATTTGCGGTTGCCCACTTCGGTGGGCGGTGGGAGGTGGCCCTCTTCGGGGGGCGGTGTACCATGCGGGTTGCTCCTGGTACTTCTCTGATATAGCAGAGTGGACTGTGGAGCAACCCCATGGTTGTGGTGGTCTGCTTCGGCAGACCTGCCGTCGGGGCGTCGTAGTTGAATGCGTAAGCGATCCTGCGACGCCCCATTAAGACGGGGGAAGGTTTTGTTGGGTTTTAGTGGGTAGTACTGGCTGTATTACGCCGGTGAGTCCCACACGTCGTGCGTAAATGCATTTCCCAACGTTAAAAAAAAAAAAGGTCATATAGAGGTTCCATATTATGTAATGTGAGTATATTACATTTTATAACTTGTATTTCGATATACCGTGCACTTTGAAGGTCATTTTCGTATACCGTTTATTAAAATTAATTGTTAGTATGAGGTAAAAATGTCATGTAATAGTGTAGCGCAGAGTCTCACCGTGACGCTGTCGGCGGCGTTGTGGCAGGCGGGCACGACGTCGGGCGGGCAGCGCGCCACGCACTGCTCCCAGGAGAGCCCCACGGCCGCCATGGCGCCGGGGCCCAGCTTGGCGTCCACGATGCTGCGCCCGCGCCAGTACGCCGCTAGCACGGCCTGCTCCGCCGTTAGCGTCTCGTCCGCATACGCGCAGCCGATCTCGCCCACGGAGTGGCCCACGATGCCGTCGGGACGCACGCCCACCGCACGCAGCACGTCCACCAGCGCCACCTGCACGGCCGCGATGGACACGAAGGACGCGATCACGTCGTCGAAGGCGGCGTCGGGCGCGTCCGACAGCACGTGCAGCAGGTCGATGCCGTGCGGCTTCAGCGCCGCGGCCGAGCGCTGCACGCTGGCTGCGAACAGCGGCAAGCGCATCAACGCGCGCGCCATGCCCGCCCACTGCGATCCCATGCCCGAGAACACGAACCACACGGGCCGCGGCTCGCCGCTTTCTACTTCCTGTATCATGAACGTTTCTTTAAAACAAATTTCTACGACGTGATCGCTACAAAATACGTACTGAGGCTTAAGAGGAACAATAACTATTCATTTAGGTAAATAGTTTTCCTATTAGCTGTGAATTATAATAATATTATGAGGTTTTCGAGTACTGACCATGATTTCTTCGATGGGCGTGTCGTCGAGCAGACGGAAGCCGCGGTAGCCGTGCCCGGGGATGTTGTGCGCGTGCACGGCGTCGAGCAGCGCGTGCAACTCGGCGTCGCGCGGGTGCTCGGCCGCCAGCGCCAGCAGCTCGCGCACCGCCGCCTCAGTGCGGCCCGAGGCCAGTACGAGGCGCGGCGCGGTGTAGGCGGCGGGCGGTGGCCGCGCGCCCTTCTCCGACTCCAGGATCACGTGCGCGTTGGCGCCGCCGAACCCGAACGAGTTCACCGCTACCAGCCCGCCGTCCCACGGCGTGTTGCGGTCGACCACCTGCCACCGCACCGAACCGGTTTTAGCCTCATATTTTAACATTAATAAACAAATAAGAAACACTTAGAGAACATGGACAATGTTTACCTTGATGCGACCATCGCTTAACGCCGGTATGTCTTTGTTAGGTTCCTTGTAGTGCAGGTTAGCGGGGATGCTACCGCGTTCCATGGCCACCACCACCTTCGCGATTGAGCAGAGGCCGGACGCGGGCTCCGAGTGCCCCATGTTGGACTTCACCGAGCCCAGTAAAAGTGGTGTCTTGCGATCCTTGCAGAAGAAATCGGCAATCGCATTCACCTCTTGAGGGTCACCCACCTAGAATCATTGACATTTTTAAGCCTCCATACTATTATATACCAAAACATATTTTCATCACCCTGGCGGTGCTCAAAAATATCTAATCACAAAAATTACTGTTTGAATTTTTACCTTCATCAGATTATACTTTCTTAGGTTTACACGAATATTTGACATAAATAAAGCTATCTTTTCGGATTTTTTTGCGGATTGATTTAGATTTTTATGAACCAAATAGTTTTATTTTATTTAGAACCTTATCAAATTTTCATAAATAACAATTTACCTTAGTGCCTGTTCCGTGAGCTTCCACGTAGACGACGTCCTGCGGGCGCAGCCCTGCCTCAGCGAAGGTCTCTTCGGCGAGCTGGCGCTGCACCTCGCCGGCCGGGAAGGTGATGCCCTGCACCTTGGCGCCGTCGGTGTTCATGCGCGCGCCGCGCACCGTCGCGTACACGCGGCGGGCGGCGCCGCGACGCTGCAGCAGCACGGCCACGGCCGCCTCCGAGCGCACGTAGCCGCGCCCGCTCGCGTCGAACGCTGCGCAGCGTCCCTCCGGGGACAGCATGCTCAGGCGGTGGAAGTTCAGCGAGTTGGCCGGCTTCAGGCACAGGTTGGTGCCGGCCACCACAGCCGCGTCGCACTGCCCGGTGCGCATGGCGTTAACGGCCTGCGTCAACGCGAACATGGAACTTGAGCAGGCCGTGTCGATAGCGTACGAGGGCCCCTTTAGGTCGAACGTGTACGAGATGCGGTTGGGAAACATGGCGCGGCAACAGCCCGTGAGCGCGTAGCCGTTGATCTTGTCGGGGTCCGCCGTCCACAGCTCCTCAGTCTCAGAGTTGGACACGCCCACGTACACGCCGGTGCGCGAGCCGCGCAGCTCGGCGGGGTTGAGGCCTGCGTCTACGATGGTCTCGTGCGTGAGCTCCAGCAGCAGGCGCAGCTGCGGGTCCATGAGGTGCGCCTGCTTAGCGTGGACACCGAAGAAGGTGGCGTCGAAATGTGCCAGATCTTTGAGTTTGCCATTGCGTTCCGGCAAGCCGTGCAGCCCTGTGACACACCGACAAAATATTTTACAGTGCTCGAAACATAAGAATAACTTATCAAAAATATACAATTTTTGTAGTAATTTTTATTTTATACTAGCGACTCGCCCTCGCTTCGCTTCGGGTTCGTCCCTACACAAAAAGAAATCTATCCTACGGGAACCGTATCTATGTGCTATTGTAGACTATAATCTCTCTGTGCCATATTTCATCCAGATCAATTCTGGCGTGATTGAGTAACAAACATCCATCCAAACTTTCGCATTTATAATATTTAGGGGATTCTCATTCAATCTAATCATCGCAGCGTAACGATGATGTCAGAACATATTAGTATTTGAAGAACGGATACAATTACATAATAATCAATACTATAATGAAAATGTGCCTATCCGCCTGGCGTTATCTAAAAGTTAATATGTACACCACATGATGCTTAAGGTGTTACTTTTAATGTTTATTAAATTACATTGCATTTTTAGTCCATTTTTGGACTCAAAATCAAATCAAAATATCATCATCAAATAAAAGAAAAAAATATCTAGGTTACACTAAAAGTATTGCATATTATATATTTTGTCGGTAATAAAGATAGGTGACCAGTGCACGTGGAGGTAATCAAGTGCGCGCGAGGAAGATCGATAGTTGCATTAAAAAGTAAACAAACGTCGCGTACTATGTATTTACTATGTATGTAATTACATAGCCATTGTCGCTTTTACTTAGATGTACGAACCAGTAGTGACTACAATGTACACGCCAGTCGTTACTCGAACATGCCTATCTATTCGATACTAGACCTACTTGAAGTCAGAACTAGATTATTAGCAAACAGACGGACAAAATTGCAACGCAGACGAGATTATTTAAAAATCAAGGTCAAGTGCGAGTCAGAATCGTGAAATCAAAACCAGGTTATATATTGTTTTTGTTACGTTTTCAGTAGGCAAGTAGGCAAGTATCATATTTAGCTATTTTTTGACAAGCAGTCAAACGGCAAAAACGCAGCTAATAATTTTATCAAGTCAATTCACCTGTCCGTATGTCTCAGGCAATTTACTTAAGAGTGCGCCTGAGACCGCTATGATCCGAATTCGGAGTAGTGGGATGACAAGCTAATGTTCTATCGTGAATGAGAAGTACATATAGAGCGATAGATTTTCAACGTATTTAAACCCTAAAACAGTTTTTAATTTATATATACATATATAAAAGGCAAAAGTGATTGACTTGATGTATCAACGAACAGGCCGAACCTTTAAGGCTAGAAAATTGAAATTTCGCACACGTATTTCTTATATGACGAAGGCATCCACTAAAGAAGGATTTTTCAAAATTCAACCCCAAGGGGGTGGAATAGGCGATAAAAGTTTGTATGAAACTTTTTATTCCTTGGACATATTTGCATGAAATTTGGTATGAATTGAGTACGGCAAAAATAATGAGTTACGAATTTCAGCGTTTTCCAAAATTTAACCCCTAAGATGGTAAAATAGGGGATGTAAGTTTGTATGAAACCTACCTTTTCAGAGATTTTATTTGTATTTTTAGCGCGAGCAAAGCCGCAGGTTCTGATAGTTCACAAATTAATTAAACAACAAAAATAGTGAACTGTTTCTGAGTGAGATAAATGTAAGCAAAACATGTAATTTTGAAAAAAAAAAGTATTATCGAGAAAATTTTCACCAATCGTGTTTTTTAAATTTGGCAATTCAAGATAAAAGTAGGAAGTATCATTTCCCTAAATATCAAAGTGGTAACTTTTACAGATTCTGACATAAATAACGATGTCTTGTAGATATGGACAATTGCTATGCATATTGTATGCACACTCTTAAAAAGTGTTATAAAATCATTATCATTTAGCAAAAATATTTTTTTATGATAGAAAAACTAAGAACAACAAAATTATTTATATAACAATAACATCATACAAGTTTCTACAAGAATTTATAGATCGCTAAATATTTTACTTCAAATATTTTAATTTTATGTTCGTACTAAGATTACATCAAGTTGAACGATTGTTTACTCATTTTACCGTAAATAAAATAAACTCTAAAAACACGCTGCTCTTATTATAATCATTTTTCAACCCTGACATGCAAGTCGAATGTGGTGTAGATATTAGACAGTGAAATGGCTGCGCCCGCGCGGCTCGGCGCAGCGTTGTTGTTGCGAATTATTGTTTACGTGAATTACTTGAGATATGACTAATAAGGACAATTATGTAATATAGTTGTTTTTCTTGTGGTGCTTTTAAGGAAAATAATAAGATAGAGGATAGACTAACGGGTAAATCTAAATTGTCGGTGACGTGCTCCCACCCAGCACCATATAAATATATCGTGCTCGCTTCCTTGTTTTGTTTATCCGCTGAGTTAAAATAAATTTTATAATATTTAGCCTATATTTACTACCTTTAGTTTTCACGGGCGTACCACATGCTCCTATGAATGTGATCCCGTGAACGTATAATTTCATTTATTTAATGTGCAAAGATAACCTTTTCAGGTCATTTAAATTTTATTTTTGGTTCACGAATCGAATCGATTATTTGATTCCACACCGACATAAACACTGGAATCATCTAAAACGAAGACGAAATTAAATTGAATAAGAGAAGCCCTTACTGTGCAGAGAACATTGGCGAGCCGCCGACAGCTCCGGGCTGAATTACACTACAATACACGAGATCGCCGTCAATATCGACTATTACGTTCATTTTAGTTCACTAAATATTACCCGCAACAATGGGGCAGTATTTATCAGAGTGATGTAAATAAGAATCACGACGACCCATGATATCATCTTTAACCTTAGATGTCATTAAAGAAATTATCTAAATAAATTATATCAATTTATAAATCTATACATGTAATAAAATAGTAAGAAAGCGAAATCTATACATGAAATATTATTTAAAAACAATGACTGTTAACGTATTGTGTACAGAATATAGACTCCAAAACAATAGTAATAGAAATTTTTGTCTGTTTGTATGCCTATCTGTTTAGTTTTCACGCAAAAAGGTCTGAATAGATATAGTATATGTCTATCTCCTAAGGTATACTCGCAATATCTATTTTTATCTATTTAAAACGTACCGAGGGACGTAAGTCGCTAGTAATAAATAAACACGTATAAAATAAAGAGTACTCACCGGGTGTCCAGCGACGGTCATCAGCTGTGACGAGATCGACGCCATCGAAGAGCTGCTGAGCGAACTCCTCTATATTGTTGGACTCGGGCAGACGGCCCGACAGGCCTGTCAGCACGATGTCGTCCGCCTCCCCCGCTCGACTCCCATTCGTCACCGCGCCCGGCATCTCGCTTCAATATTATTTCTATCACCGTAAAAAATATCTGCAATGAAACAGGACCGTCAGTATTCGATTACAATGGCGTACTATAATTACAGTTAGGGAACAATATGAAGCAAGGCAAGCCGAGTCCGCTCACCGCGTTCTGGGAGTCGTGAAGCTGACGGCAGTATACGATGTGTCGCGAATGGTGTGACCGCGAGTGTGGCGATGTTTGACGGAGCACGGCGGGGGCGAGACAAGACGAGCCGCTCGCAAGGAAGTGCACGCGTGAAGTGAAGCTGCGGCCGAGCGCCGTGCGGTTAAAAGGGCGCGATAGCGGGGTCGTGACCCGTCCCACGTTTCCATGAGACCCTGAGCGTCTTATCACCCACCAAGGACGATCAAGGTCGATCGCACTCACTCGTTGGAATCGCCTTCCGCATCACTTTCTGACCGAGACGCGAGAGATTCTCTTGATATTATCTCTTTGCTTAGGAAGCTTTGCGATCGATGACCGATTCGACCTTCGTGAGATATCTGCGACGAGGAACCGTATCATGACCTATCGATTAATTAATCGATACGCGTAATTGCGTATCATAATTTGCAAGTGAGCCAATCCCGCGTGACATACGTCGCAGTAGATGTAAATACAGATACCTCACTGACATTAGGCATAACGCGAACATGTAACTTCCAGCCGCTGGCTGCCTTCCCTTTGTGTGAGAGAGAAAAGTGGGGCAGGAGCGCGGGTTGACGGCGGCCACAATAGCGGCTTTGTGTGTCAATTAACAAGCGTACCGACGCGCTGCCTCGCCGCCTGCTGCCGCGTCCAGTACGTGTTACCGTACGACTGGGCCGCTTGCCTGCCTGTATGCCTGGCCAATACTCAAGACTATTTCCTTCACTGCACGTAGAAAGTAGTAGGTACTGTACTAACTTCCATCTCATCACATGCACAATCAGAAATACATATATATAGGTATATATATAGGTTATTATTAGTTAGATACACTCTTAACTCTTCGTTTGTTTTGTCGCCTTATCTTGCATCAAATAACTACCATTTATCATTCACAAATATAAATTAGTAACGGAGCACTAATAAACATATCTGATCCGAGTTACCGCAAATATCATGTGTATTGTGCATACTTCCAATCTTACAAAATTTTATAAAACGAGTTGCTTTGTATGGGCTGGCACCGATTTCAAAAATATTTGATTAGGTATGTATTTAATAGGTAGGCTTTAATTACTTAGCCAAAGCACACCGACTTCGAAAATATTTGATTAGGTATGTATAGTAAATGAAAATTACCAATCAGTTATTTTTTACTTTTTAGTGCTTTTGTTTGAAGTCGGTTTTTATTTTTTTGTTAAAAAGTTTTTATTTTTCCCTTTTTAGTGTAGACAGTAGTAGCAAAGTAAAAATTCTAACATGTTAGGCCTGTCAAATCAAACAAAACAAGCACAAACTCAAAGTATCTATTAGCCGTTGAAGGGTTCCACCTATCTACCTTCTGGCCTTACCATCAAATCCAGTCAACAATACCGAACCACTGTACTATCAACGGAAATAGAAACACTTGCAAAGTTTCAAGTCAATATGACAATTAAAAGTAGGTTAAATTCATCATTAGCTATTTTTCCATCCTTAGGAGTGGTAACCCTTTCAAACAACACAAAAGTTGTCCAAATCGGTTAATAAATGACGGAGTTCTGAGGTAACAAGCATAAAAAAAAACTACAGTCGAATTGAGAACCTCCTCCTTTTTGAAGTCGGTTGATAAAGGTTTTTAAGAGGCGGTCACAAAAATATGTACAACATTTATGTTTAAAGTAATTTAGGATAAAAAATTGCTAAATATAGCTTCAAATGTTTAAATGGCAAAAATTATAAAGCTGTAAATAAAAAAATATATATAATAAAAATAAAAAACCCGACAGCATAACTAACTAAAAAGATGAAAAGAAGTTTATGAAGGAATATAGTACTATGCAGTCGCAGACATACATAGAGGTACATCTTGCGGCAAAGATGAAACGTCTGAACTCTGAAGTCTGAATGTCTCCGACTGCATAATACTTTATTCCTTCTTCAATTTGTTTACACCTCTTTAGTTAGCTGTTATGCAATCGGGTTTTTTATGATTATAATATATATTTTTATAGTAGTCTCTAATTTTGATTGCAATTAAGTATTTACACATATTTGTTATTTGTTTTTTTGTCTTTTACATTTATATTGTAGAATTTACCTCGTCCCATAAATGTTGTGCAAAGCACATGTGAAATTTTCACCAGCAAATAGAGGTATAATAAGTAAGAATATTTTAAAGATAAAATATTCTCAAAAGATAAAATTTTAAGTCAAGGATATTTTTAAGTCGATTCTATTGAATTTATTAGTTCAAAGGTAATGAGCTTTCTCTGAGCATTTTTTTGTAACTGTGAACTAACATGGTGCAATTAACCGTCCATGAATACCGCTTATACAGCGTACCTATACGGTAGATACGCCATAATATAGTCTAGCTCTAGTCGAGTAGTTCAATATCTGCCAAAAATTGTTAGAATACTTAGAAAATTATAGGCGACGTGGTGGCTCATTAGACACGGAATAAAATTCTGAAGAAAACATTTTTTTTTATTTTCTGCAAATAAAAATTGCAATTGTTATAAACAAAAAACTCAAACGAAAAAAAAATGCTTCAGATTTTTGTTTGTAACTTGAAAACGGTTAAAGAGAGTGGAAATCAGCAAAAAGATCCTTAAAGAGGAGGAAAGTTCGTAAAAAAACCGGAACTCGAGCCCTATAATTAATCATTTTAATCCGCCGCGGTTGAAAATGGGATTCCGCGCGTCTGTTTAGGCTCAAGCGCGTCGCAGCTAGAGTGTATAAGCTAAATATATTTTTGATTATAACATATTACTTAATTTAAAATTTATGGCGTAATCTGACACAATATAATGAGTTAGGTTCCATGGGAAACAATTTTCTCATCGATTTTTCAAAAAGTGATCCCATTGTTAATAAATATTTTTTTCGCAATGCTCTCTCTATATAAAAATCAACATAAAACTTTTAATAATTGTGCTAAATATCTAAACGTTTTTGGAGGCCTTCTTATATAAGTACCTACTTAATGAACTTTAACTGCCTCAAGCATATACGGCTGCACACCCGAAGGTCCTGGGTTCGAGTCCCGGGTCGGGCCAAGTTTACTTATTGAGTCTTTCCGTATAGTAAGTCTCAGTAACAGCCCGGAGTTAGGAAGTTGGCGGTGTTTCACCCCCGTGCCTTGGAAAGCACGTAAAGTCGTCGGTCCTGCGCCGACACTCACCGGTCGTGTCGAGTGGTCGTCCCACCGGAGTATGAAAGTGATAGGAATAGAGAGTGCACCTGTGTCTGCGCGTACACTTGAGCACTATAATATCTCCTGCGCAGTTAGCTAATCTCAATAAGATTGGCCGCAGTAGCCGGAATCGGCTAGGAGAACATCATCATCACTTAATGAAATCATAATGAAAAAGTTTATAAAAAGTTATTGATTTTATTAGTTATTAACTAGTAAACATTACAAAAAATGAAGGATTCCCCTTCTTACTTGGCTTTTTAAAGTTATTAAAAGTACCTATATATTTGGTGAAGATGATAAAGTATTAGCGGTCCTCCGACGTGGCGACGCTCATCAACAAAATCATATTATAAACAAAAATCTGAAGCCATTTTCAGTTTTTTGTTTACCCTCTATAACAATAGGGTATATAATGCATGTATTTATTTTATTTACACTGTTTTAACATAGTAAAAAATATAAATACTGTTTAAAAATGCTGTAATAAAGTTTAAAAAAATATTTAAAATAGAAAATATTTTAATTGTTGGATTTGGGTAAATAAAATAAATACGTTTATATTCAATAAGTATCGTAACTTCTCTATTCTGTAATCCGTATTAAGTTCTTTAACAAAGTAGATAAAACAGATATGAGAATTGAGACATCGCCGCCATAGATGACAAGTGTTGACAGATACAAAAAAGTTAAAGAGTGGATGAGCACAGATAAATGTTTTTATTGTACTATTTATCTAACATTAATCCTTCCACGACTGCGGACACGCCGGCGTTACAATTGTCAATAGATTTCTTAGAAATTTAATTATTTTTTTTAGTAATTCACCTGGAAGTGTTAAGCTGTTCAAAAGTCCGCCACTTTTGCACGCGCGTCAAATACTATGTCCAGCAGTGTTGTCAGATCAAAAAACTCATTCAGCGCTAGGACGGCACAAAAAGCGCTGGATTTCACAAATTAACTTTTTTTTTCTTGAATTACAAATTTTAATAAAAATCAAAACAAAGAAAGCCCAACGATCTAGACCCCAAAGCACTAAAATGGTAGCACTGATGTCCACTGTTAGTGAGACCTGTGACAGTTTAGTCCATTGTTTACTACAGGTGTACAATGGTGTAAGGTGTTCTCGTTCTTAACTTATTGCACCATTAAAAAAGCACTAAAGCCAGTTTATAAGTATTGCATTGTGCCAGAATGCAAAACCACTATCAGAAGTACACCTGATAAAGAGTTTTTCCATTCCGATAAGTGCAGAAATACGCAAGGAATGGTATAAGATTATTAGAAGAGATGAAGTATCTGCAACAACTTGTTTACATTGTTGTGAAGATCACTATAATATAAGTATGACGTATTGCGATACCTAATATGATATCAGTTAATGAGAAGTAAGTTTTGTATTGAAAATCAATCACACAAGCAATGATTTCGTCCATTGTTTTTTTCGTAAACAAATTGTTGACACAGTATTGACGATTTGAGATGAGATTTTTTGCCGCAGTAAAAAGTATCCTATATGTTGACCCAGATAACCAGTTATCATCGAACCAAATTTCATCGAAATCCTTTCAGTGGTTTTTCCGCGATACGGTCACAGACGGACAGACAGACAGCAAGGCACAAAAATTCTAAAAATTAGATTCGGCTTCTGTATCGATAATAATGTCTATTTTAATAAACATTTCCAAAAATATTAAATGTACAGATTCGGCTTAGTTACAATTTTATTATATGTAGGTTTAGATTTTAAGTAACTAAAAAGATATTCATTACTAAAATAATGTTTTCGTTTAAATGTACGGCCAATAAAGATTTGGAATAAGAAAATTTAAATTACATGCATATTGCAATTTTTATTTGCAGAAAATAAAAATAAAAACGTCTCCCTCAGAATTTTATTCCGCGTCTAATGAGCCTCCACGTCGCGAATAATTTTCTAACTTTTCTAACAATTTTTCCCAGATATTGAACTTCTCGACTACTTATACTAATAGGTAGGTACAATAG